TCCAAGCGGGGCCGGCCGGCCGGCCGGCGCGACACCCGAACCCAACCTCGCAAGATAGATAAGCAAGAGTGGCGCATACTGCCGACTGCCGACGCGCCGCTTCTCGAGAGGGGCAGGGGTTCGGGGGGGCGCTGCACTATGCGTTCTACGCACTCAAGGTTCAAGTGGATGTGTGTGGACTGTTGCGGGGTGTGGCGGGGCGCGGCGGGACGTGGCGTCTAGGCAGAGGAAGGGGCGCGGGGGGTAGCTGCGCGATGCGTGCTAGCAGCGTCTCGTCACGAGAGGAAGGGGAGCGGCACCGCGCTACGTGAGGGACGCACTTCATGAGTACTAGATAGCTGGGTGTTGTCGAGGTTATACGCCGCGCGAGCAACCCGAGCCCCCGCAGGCGCCCCGATTCATGGTGCGGCGCGCGGCGCGGCGCGGCACAGAGCGCTGCATTGGTTGGTTCGGCCAACCCAATGATGCCTTCGGCTTGAGCACCAGTTCGGTTCGACCCGAACCGAAGACAGTTCGGTTCGGGTCGAACCGGGCGAACCGAAGACCCGTTCGGCATTTCGTCTCCTTTTTCGCGGTCCCTGAGAAGACGGACCCACTCGGACCGTCAGTCGGGCCAAAACCTTAGTTGGGTCGAACGACACCACTTAATTCGAAGACGTCTGCGCATTTCTGTTAACAATTTAAAAAGTAGCCGAATCCACCCGAGTGCGCCCGAGTGCGACACCGATGGTGCCGCTGCTCTGCGGCATCTCTCGGAACCTCTCGACGGTTCTTCCGAACCAACCAATGCAGCGCTCTGGCGCGGCACGCTGAGGGCCCTCCGCTCATAATCTTCTAGGCAGGCCAGCCAGCCGCTGCCTTGCCAGCGAGGCGCTCGGCCTCTTCTAGGCTTGCTAGTCAGGCAACGAGGCAACTGCTGGCTGGCTAGCCGGAAACTCGGTACTCTCTGCACGAGAGTACAAGCACGCTGATACGTGAACGTATCATCTGCTAAAAAGTCAATACTATAGTCTGAGAGTGTGTAAAACTTTTCCAGGTTCCGCCTGTGTTCTTGGTTGCCGGCTGCGGCGACTCTCCGGCCAGGGAGCTGAGCTCCGTCGCCCGCCACATGCACGCCTCCGCCGTGGTGGTGTCTCCCCCGCGCAGCCCGTCGTCCGTGGAGGACGCGGCGGCCGCCATCGCAGAGACGGTGGAGCGCTCGCAGGCCAGCGGCCCGTACACGGTGGCCGGCCGCGGCTGGGGCGGCTGCGTCGCCCTGGAGGTCGCCCGAGTCCTCGCGCAGCGCCGGGGCTGCTTCGTCACCGCCTTCCTGCTGGACGCCTCGACCGACGCCATGCAGGCCGCCGTCAGGCCGCTGCAGGACCAGCCCAGCGGGCTCCCCACCGCCCTGCTCAAGTACCTTCTCAAGCTGGACCGCGAGGTAAGGATAGGACGTGCTCGGCTGGAGCCGTCTCAGGGGCGGCCGGCCTTCACTCTAAATGTTTGTGTACCTTTCACCTTTCTTGTCCATGAAGGTGAAATAATCAATTGTCGGTTACGTATCAATAATTATTATTGGCCATTTTGTACGGGCCGCTACACTCTCAGGCTCGTATCACTGCAAATGCAACCACGATACTAAAGTACATTTTTTGGCAATGACTTTTCTCCTCTGCTTCCTTATAGCTTTCAAAGCCGCATAGTAGTATTTCCATTGTAGTCATGAACAATATTGTTCACTAAGAAGACCAAACTGTCATCAATTATTGACTATTTTTTGAAGTACATTGCGTATGGACTCTTTGCTAATAGCAAACTGACTATGAGTCAATGTAAGGAACAAAATCGTACATAGATACAGAAGAAATAGTACTTTTTATTGCTACTTAAAAACTTCTTACTCAAAAACAAAAAGTCAGTATCAGTCCAAGAGTGTACAAATCCATGAATGAGCGAATTGATCCCGATTTCGGTGTGGGTGTTCCCTCAACCTTTCTTTGGGCGTGGATGTTTGAGCAACGACTAGGACGCTCCGTATAGGGCAGCAAAAAAAAAGCCTTAGAATTCGGAAGGAAAATTGAGTTTATCTGAAGGCAAGAAAAATGGAAAAAAGGGATGTTTTCGGAACATTTTCAAAAGATAGTCGTGTTATGGAACTGATATTCCAAATGTGGTAAGTTTAATACAATTTGCAGCTTAAATGGCAATTTAGCTCCATCTAACACAATTTAAGTAGCTTAAGGCCGGAGGGGTTAATTCGGCAATCACGGAAATCCGGAATCTTAAGTACCCGTCGGTGAAGCCCCGGCCTGGAGGCCGCTTGCATATACACTGTAAAAACTCTACGAAGAATCGCTTCATAATACGAAGAAAATGAAGGCATAGTAAAATCTACGAAGAAATGCTTCGTATTATGAAGCAAAATCCTTCGTAATACGAAGCGTTTCTTCACAATACGAAGCAATTCTACAAAGCCTTCATTTTCTTCGTAGTTATGAAGCAAATGCTTCGTAGGCTTTTAAGAGTGTAGCGCTCGCTCCACGACCGCTGGTTCTGTTGCAGGCCGAGGACCGGGTGCGCCGCGCTTCCTCCTGGCCGGCGCAGATGCGGGAGGCGTTAGGTCGCCCAGATGCCGTGTTGGAGGCGGCGATTGACTGCGTGCTACGTCGAGTCCAGGGCATCGTCGACTTCCAGCATCGGGGCCCTCTCGACCCCAGGGTGGCCGTCACCCTTATCAGCAAGCACCCCTACCACCTTCAGTCATCCGCCATCTCGGAGGTAAGCCCGGCTTTGCTCGATAGCCTAAAACTACGCGGGTGAATTAATAACGAAAACAATGGCGTGCTGCAATATTCACCCTGAGAAAACCTTACAAACTATTTTAGGCCTTACAAAGAAAAGCAGCTTGTAATAACAAAGTATTTTGAGCATACTTAAGCTTACAAAGAAAATACTTCATCGTATAACAAAGTAATTTAGTTTGTATGCTCAAAATACTTCGTAAGGTTTAAAGGGTGCACCCCTAAAACCTTACGAAGTATTATGAGCATACATACGTACAAACTAATTTACTTTGTTATACGAAGAAATAGTTCGTAAATTACGAGGTATTTTCTTTGTCAGCTTATGCTCAAAATACTTTTTTCTAACAAACTGCTTTGCTTTGTAAGGCCTGAAATAGTTTGTAAAGTTTTCTCAGTGTACGGTCAAGTTATCGCAAAGCGAATCCTCCGTCAGATCCCGTTAACCTTGGCGCACTGTGCGAAAAAACCACAATAAATCCCGTTAATTTTTTTGCCGGGATTTACTGTAGTTCAGAACACAGGATTTACTGTGCCTGGCTACCGTATTTGTTGTACCAATTACAGGATATTCCGTACTCCACTCCTGTGGTACAGTAAATTCCGTACAAAGTACAGTAGATCCTGTAAAAGAAGTACAGTAAATCCTGTACTCTGAACTACACTGTAAAAAAAGTATTACTGAAATTTCATAATTTTAGTCTGAAGTTTTTAAACAGACTAGTGGTTTGAAAATTCAGAGTAATTATTCAGACCGTTCTGTCTGAATTCCAAATTCAGACTACTTGTCTGAAAAACATTTTCAGACTGCTACTCTGAAATATTAAATAAAAGTGCCATCTATAAATCAAAGAGAGAGAAATCAACAAGAGAACAATTTGAACCACCAACGTGTGACGGTATCTCCTTTCCACTTTACACTTGTTCGCTTCGGCCCGGGGTTCGAACCGGGACTTTTTGGTTACGAGACGAGCTCGGTACCACTGCGCCACGGGCGCTGCCTGGCGGCGGGGGGAAGCCGTGCCGCGTGACTCTCTTCAGAGGATACCAGCTCCATTCGGCAAGTCCAGAATGCAAGTTCGGACAACTCTTACGGTTAATCTACCGTACACAGACGAATCTGCGTGAAGCGCGGGTGTACATTACTATTTCCGATAAATTTATACAACGCCTTACGCCTAGACTTGATTAGTAGACAATCTGTCAAAATTTTCATACCAAAATTATGAAAACAGGTTTCAGGATGACAAGTCTGAAAACTTTATCAGAATTTTCAGACCTTCTGCTTAAAATTCAGACTGACCGGTGTGATCTCAAATTTCAGAGTTCCTAGTCTGAAAATTCAAAGCAACTTTCTGAATTACCGATTCAGACTGCAAAGTCTGAACAAATTGTACTGAAATTTCAGAATTTTTTTTACAGTGTACAGTGACAGCTGTCCTAATCACTACAGGATTTACTGTGATTTTTTCCACAGTGCGCAATTCGGAACTTAATTGTTGTTGTAGGTGGTGTCCGAGGAGCGCACCCACGCGCTGCTCCTCTCGATGGAGGACTGCGGGGCGGTGGCCCGGCAGGCCGGCACGGCCATCAGCTCGGGCGTGCACGTGGGCCGCACCAACATGCGTCAGGCGCCCCTCGCGGTCACCTTGGGCACTCAGAAATAACACGAAGACGATAGATACAGATCGGCAACTTGGACCCATCCCGTCCAACCGTTACGGGTTTTGAACCTTGGTTTGAAACCTGACGGTTGTCAGTTGCGGTCCAGCACCCTCTCGAACATGTCTTGCACTGCGATTTAAACTGCAATATCCAGCCACACTGACTATATTTTGCAATAAAAAGAACTTATCACATTTTTTCAATGATGACTACGAAAATTCTATTACTAGGGGTACGCGCCGTTTAGTGTTGGCGCGTGGTGTGGCTGAGCGATGCGAATTGACAAAGTTTGTGCACTTCGGACTTTGCTTGAGTAGACAAAATGTGCATCTTACGGGCTAATGTTGAGTGAAATTTAGACCAGGGGTACGTAAGTGATTTTCGATATCGGAACACCAAAATCGACTGAGATCAATGTCAAACTCAATTTAAAAATTTAGGTCCAAAATTGGTCAAAATTCCGTTAAATGTGAGTCTGGGAAAAGTTTGGAGGTCATTTTTGAGTTCAGCACACCAAAAACTGCAGGCCGAAAGGTGCCACAGACAACAACAAAATAACATCTCAAGATTTATTTACACAAAACTACACAAACATGAATCACTGGGAAAGATTTCAGGCCTAAATACTCATTCTGAACACTAATGTTTTCTTTTAATCTATGGAAAGAATGAACTAGGGCTACTCTAAAACCAGGTTGTTGTGTAACATGTAGCGCGAAGTGCTTTTTTCTTGTGGTAGACCTTCGAATGCTGTCTCGCATCCGTTTTAGAAAGAAAGTGTGCCAGGCATTTCTTGCATTTTGTGTTGTGATTGCTTGAGTGCAAGTCCTGGGTTAGAGGGGTAACCCATCTAAGGCATTCGTTACAGCTGCCCTTGGCCAAAACCTCATGAGCACCGCTGAAGTGTCTTTGGTATGACTTCCACGAGTAGAATTTCCGGTCACACCCTTGGACGAGGCACCATCCGACGGGACTGCATGAAGTAAGATTCGACTGCAAGCAGATAAAACTTTTCTCGTCAGCATTGAATTTGGGCAGCACCGACCAGAGAGGAATGTGAGGGGTGGTCTACATAACCTATTATGGTCCATACTACCCGGTTCTAGGAATTAAAATATCGCAGCTTCATTTGTGCCAAACTGTACCGAAATAAGGTGGACTCTTAGAATTGTTGCGTTATGCACAGACACCTTGCGAAGTACTTTAGGCGAATGTAAGGTACAAAAGTTTCTACCTTACATATGCTTGAAGTATTTCGTTCTATTTAGTTAATTATGCGAACAATTAGTTTGTAAATTACGAAGTATTTTCTTTGTGAGCTTATGTGTGCTCAAAATACTTTATTATACACACCAAATATCATGCACGCATTTGTAAGAGACATCACAGTTTTCTTGAGCACACGAACTTTTCGTACAAGTTCTGTCTGAAAAACTGCACATAAATCAGTATTTTTGTGCAAAAACGCGTGAAAATTTAAACGAAAAGCTCGTGTGTACTAAAACCTAACAAAATAATAAAATGATTGTGGAAACTAATACAGCTTGTATTTTACCCGGTTGTGTAGAATTTTCTTAAAATTGAAATGAACTTTCACCTTGTAGTCACAAATTTCTTTTCAAAAAGTAAATGTTAAGGAGGCACACCAGTGAAAATGCAAGGGACGATTATTCTGAGAAAAGAAACATGTGCATTCGATTGATATTATATTCTTAGGTTGAAATCATATACAATCAAACAAAAAACAGTATTTGGGGACGGAGTGGCGATGGCAAGGCGAGTGCATTTTAGTTTTATTGGACTTCGCTCCTCTTCTGCCACGATTCCGCCTCTCTGAACTGAGCATCCAAGAAGGGATTTGAAAATTTCTTATCAGGACACATGTGGCAGGGTGGTTTGCATTAAAACGTACATTTTCGGGCGAATTCCGTGAAAATAAAGTTGGTCCAAACAACATTTTTCTGGCAATTTTTTTACGTCCGCCTACTATAAAAATCCTAAAGCCTGCCACGCTCAATTTTTACTTTCAGAAAATACTAAATGACATGTATTTTATATGGCACTTTGCAGAAAATTGCCCAAGTGTTGCAGAGTTTAGATGTCCCGGAGTTTAGAATGACGATACGCATCGGTCACTTGCATGCCAAAAATATCACAAGAAAGGGTCAAAAAGCAAGGGACAAAAATTAGACCACAATTACTGGCAGAAGGGATGTCAATACACAAATATCGTGGACGAATATGTCCACTTCAAGAAACAGCATAGACAAAACTTGCTAGTATAAATAAGTAACTGCGAATCGGGCAAGGAGACAGTTTACAATTTGTGATCTTTGGAAGTTACTTGAGGGCATACCCCCGACTCAATCTAGTCCCTGTTCGTGTAACAGTCTGAGCAGGTCACCAACATATTAGAAGCATTTTAAATCGCAGTCTAAAACCTCTTCCGTGGTTGTACGGAGCCAAAAAAAGAGGTACGAAAGATGTACGTTCCGATGCAAACCATCCGGTCTTAACCACACACTGCGAGAAAAGATCACGGTAAATCCTGTACTGATTACTCCAGACTTACCGTACTCTTTTTTTTACAGGGAATCCCGTACTTTTTAACCCGGCAATCCCGTACTTTTGATACCTATCAAAAACTGCTATGTTTTTTTTTTCAGTTCGTCGACCCTTGTTTTTCAAGATCCTGATGTACGTGACTGCTGAAGTCGAACTCCTTGACCCCCCCTTCCGACCACTCGTTGAAAAGGTCTTGACGAGACCAATCGAAAGATGCAATAAAATTTTTCAGTCGGTCGACCCCCTTTTTTCAAGATCCTGATGTGGACAATTCTTGGGAGCGGCCTTAGTTGGAACCAGATCTGGTCCTTCCTACGGCATGGACTGTACAAAAGAATGGTAACTACTGAAAAGACTACGGAATATTTTGTAAAACAACAGGGTTTATACAAAAAAATAGTGAGAATTTCCCTGACTTTTCCCTGATTTCCCTGACGCGAAATTGCAAATTTCCCTGACATTTGAGCGCATCAAAACATTGATTGAGTTGAACTCGAACGGCCGGTGTCTCGCGCTCTCCTCCGCAGTTGTCCAGCAAACAGGTCCAGTGTCGCAGCAAATATATTTTTCCCTGACATTCTGCTGCATTTTGCGAAATTCCCTGACATTTCCCTGATTTCCCTGACCCTATTTTTTCCCCTGACTTTTCCCTGATTTCAAGGTTTTCAAGGTTTGTATAAACCCTGAACAAGTACGGTAAATACTGTAGACTGTACGGTGGATACTGATTCTAGAAGTACGGTAAAGTTTGGCAAAATAATTATCCAGGATTTACTGTCATTTTTCTCAGAGTGCAGGCATTCAAAACAAATAATTTTGAATTTCATTAATAGAAAATAAAAAAAACAGTATTTTAACCACTTTTTTCACGTTTTCGTTTCCAAGGTTCAGACCATAGAGGCGAGTTAAAGGGACATTTTGTCGCAAACCGCAAGATGCTTAGTTAAATAAATTCGAAACCAACTTGGAAAATGGGCCCAGGCCCAGTATTTCCAATCTAAAGGTCAGTTTAGCAGCGTTTGACTTGACATGAAAAGTAGTAAAATGAGGTAAAATAAAAATTACCGATAATTTAACGATTTTCACTGGCAAGCCCGCTTTATGTGATACGCAGGGATCCTTAACTTAACATTTAACTCCCAAGGGAAAAAATCCCTAACGTCCCTAACCAAAGGGATATTTCGCGGCCCCTTGGTATAGGGACGGTCCCCATGGAAGGGCCAGCCCCTATGGATAGGGACAGTCCCCTTGTCAAAGGGCCGCGAAATATCCCTTTGGTAAGGGACGTGCCGCGGAGTGTTCAAGTGTTCAAAACATCTGCCTCTTGAACATCAATGTACAATATAAGAAACGCTTCCTGAGTAAACTTTTGACGCTGATAACAATGGTAGTGTCGTCGACACTCTATCTAAAGCCGTTTACAAGATACCCTTAATAGGTGTGTAGCGGGTTTGCCTACCTAAATCACCCACATTTTGCCTAACTGGCAGGCTGATTTATAGGGCCTTGTGGTCTGGAGGGCGGATCCCCAAGTCCATAGGGCTGATCCCCAAGTCAAAAGGGCCGATCCCTAAGCTCATAGGGCCGGTCCCCAAGTCTATAGGGCCGGTCCCCAAGTCCATAGGGCCGGTCCCCAAGTCCATAGGGCCGGTCCCTAACTTGATAGGGCCCGGCCCTATGGCAGATAGGGCTGAGCCCTTCCCAAGGGGCGAAGCCCTTTCTCGGATAGGGCTTGGCCCCTTCGGAAAGGGACCGTCCCTTTAAAATCATAGGGATTTTTTCCCTTGGGATAACACTGCTTTCATAACGTAACATAAGACAACACTGAGAATCCAAACGCTATGAATATAGCGTCAATTGGTGCATGAATTGCACATGAAGTGCAATGCCTCCCCATTCCCATGCATTAGCATAGGGCGGTTTCGGGATGCATTGCACGTAAGGTGCAATACGGCTGAGGCATTGCACGTATGGTGCGATAAGTCAACTGCATTGCACTATACGTGCTATACTCATAGCGTTTGGAATCTCAGTGTATGTTCGCTAAAGGTTAAGGGTACGGACTTATGAAAGTTCTTGCAAAAGTATATCCACACAAATTCGAGACAAAAAAATAACCTCCCCTTTTGAAAAGATGTTAGAAGTTAACGGTAATAACTTTAACTTTTATCGTAACGTTATTTGGATGACCTGAATTTGCACTAACCTTCAGGAATTCCTCGATGGTGTCTGGCACAGGTCGCCGAGCAGCCACTTGACGCCGAACTGTCGCGGGGGCCTGGCTAGCCACGGGGCGCTGAACAGCTGCAGGGGTCTGGACAGCTGCAGGGGGCTGAACAGCTACAGGGTGCTGAACGGCTGAAGGCTGAACGGCAACAAGGGGCCAAACATCCTTCGATGGCGTAACACTGTCGGAAAACTTAACTCGCTTGGATGGCTTAACACGTTTAGATGGCTTTACACGCTTGGATGGCTTCACCCGAACAGCTACGGGGAGATGAGCAACGGCAGATGGCTGAGCAGCCGCGGGATCCTGGACAGTCGGCGGAGGTTGGTCAGCCGCAGTGGCAAGGACAGTTCGAGAGGTCTGGACAGCCTGAGTGAGCTGAGCAGGCTGAGTGAGCTGGGCAGGCTGAGTGAGCTGAGCAGGCTGAGTGAGCTGGGCAGGCTGAGTGAGCTGAGCAGGCTGAGTGAGCTGAGCAGGCTGGGTGAGCTGGGCAGGCTCCTCCGAATCCGAATCCTCATTCTCATCAGTGTCGACCTTCAGAGACAACAAATCCCTGTCAGGGCTGAATGGCCGACAGCTGCCCAGAAAAAGGACTTCTCTCTCCTCCTCTTCGCCGCGTCCGTTGCAGAGACTGCCGTTGGCGACTAGCAGCGCCAGCGCCAGTCGAAACAGCGCGCAGTGGGGAGGGGCAGGCACGGCCAGTCTTCTGGCGCCACCCTCACCCACAGCCACGTCACACGTCACAGCGGTGCCGCTGAGGATCTGTCCAGACACACGAATCGGGTCACGGTGAAGGGCCGCCTTGCAACCCAAGGGGTTGAGTGAATTTTGAACCTTCTCCAAATTCACATCAATGAGGGTTTATTGCGATAGTGAAGAAGAGAAAGAAGAGGATGCGGCGGTGGGGGGTAGAACATAAAAAACCCTCATTTGATTAGGCAGTGCGTTTGCTGGCGGGGCGGGGACGGGTGGGGGCCATCATGGCCGCCAAACAAATGAGGGTTTGTGATGTTCTACCCCCACCGCCGCATCTTCTGTTTCTTCTTCACTATCGCAAAATACCTCATTTACAGGGAAGAAACACAAAGACACGTTCAAAGGTTTGGATGCACTCTACCAAAAATGTCCTGTCAATACCGTTAATAATTATTACCAGTTTTCACTGTAGGTCAATTCACAGCGTTTACTGAGATCTGCTCACGCGATTCACTGTGATATTGTTCGCAGTGTTCACTGTGATCTGGTCCACAGTAAACACTGTGAGTTTGACGCCGCTGAGCACCGAAGTACTGCAAATCAGGCTCCAATTCACGGCGTTTCCTGTGGCCAGATCACAGTGCACACTGTGACCGAGATCACAGTGAACGCCGTGAACTAGTTCACAGCAAACGCCGTGAATTGCATAACAGCAAACATTGGTAATAAATTAACGGCGTTGACCGGACATTTTTTGAAGAGTGTGGGAAATGAAAAAGTAATTGAACTTCAGAAGTACTATAAAGGTTATTCTGATTATTTAACCAATTTCGAATTTCAAACACTTATCAAACCAAATGTGTGGACATTTTCTTGTTTGTCTTGACTAGACAAATTGATTCTCTTAAAGTGATGTTAATTTGGACAACTGCACTGGTAAGACTATGCCACGCCCATATGCCCTCCATAAAGCAAACAAGCCGTACACCAGAGGTGAGAAAAGTGAGCCACTCCTGATCCGACGTGACCCGCTCCGAAATACAAGTGCCTTTACTTCCAGAACGGTGACTAGTACATGCTTTAACCATAATAAATAAAACATTAAATGGAAATAAAATTTTCAAAACAAGTCTCTTTATTCATAACACTCGTACGTCCCTTAGTTTGCGAAAGATCGACACCTGTATTTCGGAGCGGATCACGGCGGTTCAGAAGCTGGCCACTTTTCTCACCTCTGCCGTACGCGCCCTTTTCGCAGCGCACAAAAGCTCATGCGCTCCTATCCGCCTACCTAAACCCATGACGGAAATATGGAAATTGCCTTGACGCGCAGTCCTAAGCTTCAAGAAGGGCGTACACTGATAAAAGTAGTGATGTGATTGGGCAGTAAATATGTTGCTCGTTTTCTAACCTATATAGTCTAAATCAAAAATATATACCAGAAACTTCATACGGCCAAATAAAAAAAGAATAAAAACCAAATTTTCAATGTGGAAGCAAAGTTAAGGGGTCGGTTTCTTTTTTTAATTTTTTTTGGCTGTTTTAATTTTCTTGCATACATTTTAGGTTTGGACAGTAGAGGTGGTTAAAGTCAAGCGTTCCAAATATTTGTGAGGTCTGGTCTCAATTTTTGAGAGACTTTGCGCACAAGATAAAATATTAGCTTTTCGTAATAAAATGGAAAAGTGGTTGTTCCATGTCATCCAGGATCATGCTACCAGTACAATGAATAAATTTAAGTAACAATGTATGAATGAAAATGCCCAAAACACCAAACCTTAAAGAACAAAAAGTTTAAACGGGTATTTTATAAGAAACCTTTTATAAATCTTACCTAACCTAGTTGTAAGGCAACAAAGAAACTCTTTTATAAACAACAGCGTGGTCGAGGTTCGTAATTGTGTTGTTAAAAACAACCTTTTCAAACAGTGTAAGGACTGCAAGCGTAGTTGTGTGTCTATGAAGCATAGACCTACGCTTTAAACCGGTGTATGAAAATTCAATGAAATCCCTTAAAATTATAACCGAGACATCGCCTTGAATTTTAAAGTAACCTAAACTTAACATGCAAGTATACAAGGGGAACCAGCTCAGCTGAAAATTAAACAAATATGAAGTCGTATTTGACCGACCATACCTTCATGGCATCCACCACGTCTGGGAGCTGGGCGTCTTGAACTGCCTGCTCCATCTGGTCATCCAGCTGTTGACCGACGTTCTCTGCGGCCACGGACAGCCTCCGCTTCAGCGCAGCATGGGGGTTCATGACAGCATGGTTACGCCGGCAGGATCGATTCGCCAGGGCGCAACAGTCGAGGCACATCCAATCCTCCTCACGGGCTCTGGCACATGGAAAAGGAAGGGAAAATTTTGTCATAACTTAGCGACACATTTACCACTAACTTTTTCAGCGACAAGATTTGTTGTGGAACAAATAGCTTATTAAACCATAGGCGTACTGGAACTTGAGGATAAATTCACAACGACTAACTTGTCATACCACACCAACAGTCCAACATCAAAAACAAGTCGTTGACCAGATAGTCAACAAGTATTGTAAGTCCAATTTTTTTTTTGTAATGTCTACGACGAGTATTCATGGAGTACTTTTGTGACTAAATTTATTTTGCATGGTTCTTCTTTAAAGAATAGTAATTTATCCCTATGACTTAGAAGAACAAAATACATGATAATTCAAAGTATACTTTAACACTAGAAGCGCCGGGTTTTCGGATTACCGTAAAGAGCCGAGCGGGCCAATTTGACCCAAGGGCATTTCCGTCGTACATGTCAACTCTTGAACCGTCGTTTCGACTCAAAGGGGACCTATAACGGATTTGCAGACCCTTAGCAAGTCAAAGGATAAAATTTGGTGCACAGGGGTCACAGGGGGGCGAGGTAGGCAACCCGCAAACCATGATTTGCTGTTCCTAGTGTTTTCTACAATGCCTCGTTGCCGAAACGTTTTTGATGATAATAGATGGCATAATTGTAACCGCCTTGTGATCGAGACAGTGAGTTTTAATCAAATTACTGAACCGTAGACCATTAAGACCTGGCCAAACCTTCAAAGCATTGCTGCAAGGCATGCCCGGAAACCAGGAGTCAGAGCAACGGAGAAGCTCATAGTAAGGAGGATTGAGTGCTCGGTTGAGTGTGTGCTAAAAAGGCTGGAATGTAAGAGACACGTGTAAACACTCTCGGGTACTCAATAAACTCGGCATAACCAGCAAGGCGCGTAGTGGGTTCTAATTTGCGTCAACTAGCATTCAGTGATCTCTCCCAACCAGGTTTGTTCCTGCTATATCCCTGAGATGGGTTTCCGTGTCGTCTATCGTCCTGACCGGCTTGTTCAGACATCTAGGGAATGAATAGTTGCCGTACTAGTTAATAGTTATGGAGGCAAGTGAAATACCTTGAAACACTAGACACGAGAGCAACAAAGTGGACATCGGCATTTTATTTATATCTTTACGCATGAGTAAGTGATGGAATTCTTTGTCTCAAGGATTCGGGTTGAGCGTGCTATGAGTGCCACTGAAGGTAGACTAGCGCCTCAGTGTCCGAGAGACACCCTAGGACGTTGAGAAGTCCATCGGGTTACCCAAAATGCCTAAGACATTGGCAGTTTACGACAAAGGAAGCTGCGAGGTGTCTCTAGCCAGAAAATGTATTGCGGGTTGCCTACTTCGTTATAAACGCGGACCTAACGCATTCCTTATGTGACTTAAGTCATTTTTAGTGGTGAAGAGTCAGTTTATAGCTCGTTACGTTTTGAAGAAACGCGAAAATGTGGTCGAAATGCCGTGTGGGTCAATCTGGCCCGCTTGGCGCTTTACGGTAAAAGTCAATTTATCTCGGTCAAATATGGTCCGAGAACGTCCAGATTTCGAATTTAGACGCATTTCATCATTCTAGGAAAAGTCAGAAATTAGGGGGCTGCCACTTTCATTTTCAAAAGTCGAAATTACAGTTCAAAACTCAAAATGGGTCAAATGGGCCCGTTCGGCGCTTCTAGTGTTAAATTGAGCAGATAACTGCAAAGGATGGGTGATAACAAGAATTTTGATCTTGAACGACAAATTGTCGCTTTCTAGATTCAGCGACATTTGTTTCGCTTTGCTTCATGATGAAATTCCATGTTTTGGAACGACTTAGTTTTCACTAATCGGATTGTTTAAGTTCAAACATTTTTTAACAGTGATACTTCCCCAAGGCGGAAATCTAGGACTGAGTCACGGAGTCTGTTCAAAAATTACTATCAAAAGAGCAGAAAGCGATAGTTTTACGCTACATTTGTCAGATATGTAAAAATGTTCATATCTATTGTTTCATTTAGCAAGCCAACTTTCCATTTGAGGTGATGGGTCCCAGTGGTACACTTTGAACTTTGAACCCACTAAGTCTGAATCGATTCCGTGACCCAATCCTGGCTTTCAGTCCACGTTTCAGTCCTCCTCGGGGTGGACTTTCTAAACGGTAATTTTTCTTGTATCTGACCGCACTCACCCACTCCTCAAAGAGGAACCGGCGCGCTCCACTCCCGGGGCAACCTCACAGACAAGCTCTTCTATCTCTTCCTTCATGGTGGTGGTGGTAGGCACTGGCTCCATAACCTCTGCGATGCCAAGCAGCAACCGAGAAAACAAGCCAGAGAAAACAAAAAGATGAAACAAAAGATACACAGGGACGGCAAGGCCGAATCTTCCCAACCAGTCTAGCAGCAGCCCGCTGGTCTAACCTAACCCGTTCCATGGGCTTTGAAATATATAACCCCGTTGGGCTGAGATAGGCCGAAGTTTTCACTTTGACCAAGTTTACGCAAAATACTTTCATTACGAAAGCACATTTTAGAAGTGCAAACGGTAACTAAGGGTAAATAAAGTGTTCACCAGACAATCTTTGAGGACGTTCCGCAGTGAGGGTGTAGGAGGTTCTGGGCCACACACTAAATTACTGTGTAGGTTTTCCTGCGCGCCAATGCACGAAATTAAGCATGCACTTCGTAACGCACTAATTTGTGCGCGACAATGCACGATTTCGTGCGCAAGTATGCAGTAAATCGTGCATTTTTGCGCAGAAATTCGTGCGTTACGAAGTGCATGTTTAATTTCGTGCATTTGCGCGCAGAAAAACCTACATAGTGATTTAGTGTGCAGTGCAACGCAAAGCCCGGGGGTCAGAAGTGCTCAAAAGAGTATAACGAAATAGGGTACTCCAAGAATCTTGAAACAGAAGAACAAAAGTAAGACTTGTGAACGGCTTCGGCGCATGCGCAAACGTCCACCTACCCCTACGACCCGGCGGGCAAGCGCAGAAGCTGATGTTTAGGGCGCACTGCGTTTCTTCCCTTTCACACTAAATTACTATGTAAGTTTTTCTGCGCGCTAGTGCACGAAATTTAACGAGCACTTCGTAACGCACAAATTTGTGCGCAACAATGCACGATTTTCTACATACTTACGCAAGGAATCATGCACTGTCGCGCACAAATTCGTGCGTTACGAAATGCATGTTTAATTTGGTGCATTGCCGCGCAGAAAAACCAACGTAGTAATTTAATGTGTTCAGGATTCACTGGAGCTCCGTTTTAATGGACGGCCCTTGACACTCTAAATGTCTAAAAATGAAATTTGACCTATTTTATGAGTATGTTACGGTGAATTCGGCGCAAGCATAGGAGCAATATTCCTTCGTAATACGAATCTGTTAAGCTTTTCCATTGAAAAATAAAAATAAAAATTTTCGTAATACGAAGAAAACCAACCTTCGTATAGGGTAAAGTGCCGAACATGGATCGGGGTACCAAACATGGATCATTTCTGTTTGGGGGTCTATATCTAAAGACCAGGTGGCCAGGTTCTAAATTTCTGTCTTTCCTTGCTTAGACTGACTGACCCTTTGACTGTTCGATGTGAATCTGACAAGTTTGAAACTGCGTCTCTCTACTCTGCAGGGTTGCGTTTAGAAAGACACCTAAAACAGGCCCCCGAAAATCGATGGAAAAATGACGTTCAAAAAGGTGATTGTTGCACCCCTGATTCTTGGCCAAGCAATCACCGCAGTCACTTCAAAATTTTTCATCGTGCACTTTAGACGGACCACTTTGATATTTTGGGACTACTGAATGCATACGTTGCTTTGTGTCCAAACGCTGGTGGGGTGATTCATGATTGGACTACCCTAACCTAACCTTAGCAAAAATAGCCATATTTTCTTGTACGACCAGTGAGGTAAACATCAACATAAGATTCAAAAATAGTAGTCAACCCATACTTAATTTCGATATAGAGAAGATTATTTAAAAAGTGATCCATGTTTGGTAACCTTACCCTAGGGTACTTTCGTAGATCCCTGAACCGGAAGCACACAGACGCCATGTTGGCGGAAGTAGATCCAAACTTGACATGGGAAAGAGACGTTCGTCAAAGGTATCGGCCACACTTGAACATAAACAGTCGTTTGATACTTGTTTGCAATGCATGTGTGTTTCGCGATCAATATTTGTACAGCTCGGCTATAGTTTTGGATCCGAAGAGAGGTTAGTTTCCGGCCAATGTGGCGTCTGCTGGTCTGCTTGCTTCCGGTTCAGGATTCTACGAAAGTACCCTATTATGAATGCGCCGTTTCCTTCGTATTATGGAAAATTTCTTCGTAAGACATTAAGAGTGTAGACCAGGAACCCGGAAATCGCGACCCCGGCAGCACGGAACGTGATTAGTCAAAAACAACAAGGTAAGGAGCGATACACACCGGCAAATTTGACCCGTCCCGTACATTACGAAATGTGTACATTTCGCCAATGTTTAACTCCTAACGAGATTGGATCCTGAGTTTGAACAGGGAAAATCCTACAAAGAATCGCTTCGAAATACTGTACGAAGAAAATAGAGGCATTGAACGAAGAAATGCTTCGCATTAAGAAGCAAAATCCTTCGTAACTCACAAGGGAACCTATTCAGGGGGTACACTCAGATTTCGACCAAACTTTTTTTTTCGTAAGAATAACATAAGATTAAGAATGCACCTCAAAGTTGGTGCCAAGATATATATCTACACCCTTTACCAATTTTTTAAAACCTAAAAAAGGGGTAAAATAAGCTTTTTTGCAGTGTATGGGTCATTTTCGGACATCGAATCGGAAAATTTGAAGTCCGGTTTTTTGTCATTTCCTTCAATGTTTGGTCCCCTTGTGACGAAAATGATAGAAAATTTTGGTCTGTTTCATATATTATCATATTTTGCACAAATTTGGTGCGACTGCCCAATTTACGACCGAAAATCTGCTCGTTGCATGTAAAAACATGGGCCATTTTACCCCTTTTTTCGGTTTAAAAAAGTCAGGAGGGGTGTGGACATGTATCTTGGCACCAACTTTGGGGTGCATTCTTAATCTTATATGTTATTCTTTCGAAAAAAAAAAGTTTGGTCGAAATCTGAGTGTACCCCCTGAATAGGTTCCCTTGTCAGAGCATTTCTTCGTAATACGAAATCAATTCTGCAATGACTTCATTTTCTTCGTAGTTAAGAAGCAAATCCTTCGTAGGCTTTTGAGAGTGCGGGGTCAAACGTAATTGATAGACGTCCCCTTACAAAACATATCAAAGATGGCGTGAACCGGGAGCCACCATTTTGGACGGATACACATACGTTAGGTTACGTAACGAGCCAATTCCGAAGCGTAACGGCCGCGATGATTTGGAAAACTTGTAAATTTGGGTTAAGTAGGTAAAATAAAGTGCTGAAATACGCTAACACACACTGTTACTCTAACATAAGAGCACGTTAACGTAGTTTCCGGGAAAGATACGCTGGTACACTGGTAAAAACAAAAGCGTAGTGTTACCCTCTGTTTCCAAGCATAGTCAGTTTACGCTTGAAATCAAGCGTAACAGGCTCATTCACCAATCTCCTTATTTATATGCATAGGGAAATTTCAAGTCTATGCCTTATTTCAAGCGTAACGTCTTCAAGCGCAACATTATGCTTGACTCAAGCATAGAGTTACGCTTAAGTGTTACCAGTGTAGAAAAAAGTACGAAAAAAGTACGGCACGTGTCTGGTCAATATTTTCACCTAGACCGTCCGTACCGTGCCAACCACGGAAGTTCTGTACATGTTTTCCGTACCAGTTTTCATGAGATCCTTGTGGAGACCACAGAGAACCAGTACAGAAGATCCGTTATTCCGTACCAAACCATGGAATCTTTTGAAGTGTAGCAGGTCTTGGCTTCCGTCTAAATTTCCTGAGAAATACCCTACATGCGTTGAGACCTGACTGGGCGTCAAGCTGGGCGTTGTCGTCAAGTCCGCAGGCGCAGGGGCACGTAAAGCGATCCCTAGGAGGCTACACTGTGAGAAAAAAGTATACAAAAAGTACGGAACATGTCTGGTCAATGATTTGCTTGGACTATCCGTGCTTGCCAAGTACGTAACTTCCGTACCGGATTACATGGGTTCATATAGAGCAAGTACGGACGTTCCATACTTTCCGCCGTACCTTCATACTAAATTTGTTTGTACCCTATCCGTTCAAAAGTGCGGAATCTTTTACAGTGTACTCCGTCTGTATGTCTCACGTACCTGATACCGCGAGCAGCGTGGCGATGCCGACGGAGACCTCTCGTATCACGCTGCGCTCACAAGCACTGTGCCGCACCGCGCGCGGGGCTGGACTGGAATGTGACAGTCAGCGGGTTGAGACTGGCGACGCGGCGGCGGCGCAGCCCGGCAGTATTCCCCCCCCCCCTCCACATCCTTAGCTCTTCCCTTCCCTCCTCTCACCCCCTGTTGGGGACGCAGACTCGCGAGCGTCGCGCTCCGGCTCAAGCGTTGAGCCTGTTAGAAAACCCCACGACTAGGGGAGGGTTGAGCAGTTTGAAACAGAATAGGGTATTTTAACGAATCCCTGGCCCGGAAGTCAAAGAACAAAAGTAAGAACCAAACGGCTTCTACGCATGCGCAGACGCTGCCTCAGAGTGGAGGGGGGACGTCTGCGCATGCGCAGAAGCCGTTTGGTTCTTACTGTTGTTCTTTGACTTCCGGGCCAGGGATTCAGGGTATGGAAAGAGACCGTGGTGGGGGTAGGCACTAAAAAGGGCGCGAATAAGGTTTCCCCATTCTTACACTACAACGGGAAGAAAATTACGAACCAGTTTTCCGACATAAAAACCAACAAAACAGCATTAATGCGGCTCAACGTGATGTTATTTCAATAATATAATTTATGATTCAGCCTTTTAGTGTCCGTATTCTATCCAGATTGCAGTTTAAAATATCCGAAATTTTATCCTGGAAAATTGGTGAAAAACGAAATTGACGCCTTCCGCACCGGCCGCCATGGCATCATTTGCGATTGAAAATGGCAGGAGAGAACGTAAGTTTCGCCTAGAACTTCTTTTTTTTCTGTTTAATCCTGTCTTAATTTTATCTAGGAACATGCCTAATGTTGTGAAATGTTCTGTTCATGGATGTCCAAACACCAATAAGACGCATCACCTCCACAAGTTTCCTCAAAACGACGTAAACAGGTACGTGAATGGGGTTAGAGCACATGGAGCGCATTTGCGTGCTCTCAATCCCGGCGGAAGAATCTGCAGTCTGAATTGTACCAGGAACTGATGTCGCACCATACTTTGAAGTGAATAAGGGGGCAGTTGTAGTGTGATTCAATTGTTCTTATAGTGTTCACAAATGTGCCATTTTGTTTGTAGTATGAAGTATGCATTGGCCACAGTATAACTGCAGATAACCGGCTGCAGTTCGAATGCAGTTCGAGTGCAGTCGAGTGCAGTTAAAATGCAGTTTAAGTACACTCAACTGTACTTGAACTGTGATCTAACTGCCGAAAAGTAGTAGTTTTTTCGAACCGTTTCAGTTTCAACTGCAGTTTTGCGGACAGTTCATAACAGTTTTGACAAAATACGATTTTTGCTAAAAACAATCAATTTTTGATTTTTAGCCTCTTAATGCCTCCCTCCCTCCCTCTCTCTCTTTTTTTTTTTTTTTGGTAGTTGTTGTCGTAGTTTGTCAGTCAGTAGTCGAACCGGGCCACAGGGTTGTCAGACCGCAACGCTGCCAACTGCGCTACGGAGACGTGTGAGGGTCTGGCGCCAGCGCGGGCGATCCCACTGGCCATGCCCGCGCGCTCAGGTAGACGAGGGATTACCGCAACTCCGCGCTCGGCGCGCTCCACTCCACGAGGATTTTCCCGTCATTTGCCGAGTCAAGCTGATCTGGAGGCAGTGCGGAGCTTCGCTCGGCCCAATTTAGAACATTTGAATCATTCCATGGCCGTGACGTGAAGGGCATTCAGGGTGAAGCTGCAAGTACCCTTTGACTTCTACAGCATTGAACATTAATTACAGTTTTTGACTGCATTCACAATTGGCCCCGGGACTGGATATGTCATTCACTTTTCTTTATTCTCCATGTGTAGGAAAAAGAGCAAATTAGAAGTATATTTGTCACGACATTTGGATTTGAAAATAAGTTGAATTTTGACTGTGGTCCTAACTACATTCCGGACTGCCAGAGCAAACTGCCGTTTGATCTGGCAACAAAAACGCAGTTAAAGGACAGTTTCTGTCCACTCCAAAGCACATAATTGACTGCAGCCAGCAATACAGAACTGGGGCAGTAAAGAACTGCAGAGACGAACTGCAGATGCGCCACTGCAGTTTCAAATACAGTTTGACTGCTGATCCTTTCGTGCGGGATTGCACGCTAAGTTTTTTGTATCTACTCTCCGTAACCTGTGAGATGTGGAAATTATCGCGATGACCTGTTCGTCTTAAGATTTTATCGGATTTTCCTTTTTAAATGTGTTTCTTGCAATGCTCTCTGTCTCAGGTGTTTGAAATGGGTTCGACTGTCTGGAAATCCGAAGCTTCTCAATGTTCCATTGAAGGATATGCACAAGAAGAAAATATGCAAAGATCATTTCTCCCGTAGAATGTTTTGGAACAACACCCTGAAAACCCTGAATAGGGATGCAGAGCCTGACATCCTCCGTAATGTGACACCCCTCACTACAGACCAGCTGATGGCTGCGAGTGAAATTTTGGGTAAGTCCTTCCAAGTAACTTTTTTATGAAGATAATCACCCTGAAATATTCTAATGAGATGAAAAGTTTCTCTCCTAGGTGACCGCTGTAGGAGCAGGAGGATGTCAGTGTAGTGTAAATCCAATGAAACTAGTTTTTCTCGATTTGTTTCATTCAATTAATTTTGCAGTTTTTCACATCCGAACAAATATGTTTTAATCTCTAGACTTTCTATTTCAGCTATTGCTGCCTGTTGGTTGTGGATGTGGCGTTGTTTGCCTTGTTTAGACAGGAATCAACTTTGGGAGCTGCTTTGTTGTTGTCATTTAAACTTCTGCTATCATCAAGATCAAAGCATTTATTGAAATGCATTTTTAATGTGGACAAAACTGTAAGTGAGGTTATAATTATGGATTAGCTGTGTGCTTCCTTTTTGCACGATGCATTAAGTTACTTCTTTCCACAAGCTTCGCTCTTCCTCTTTGATATTTTCGTCTGCATTTAGGCTGCTTTGATTTCTGCTTTTCAAATTACTGAAGTGTGGTTTGCTGTTTCATTTTCCCTCTTTATATTTTAAAGCTTTGCTTGTACTGCTTTTAATTGTCTTTGTCACAGACTGTACATGCTCTTCTTGGTTGTGCTGGTGGTTTTTTCATGTATTTGGAACCTAGCAAGATTTTGATGTGGATTTTACTGCTGAATAAATTGACTTTTCTGGAAAGTCCCCTAGCTCTATCTTCTTCACAAAATCTTGAAAGGAATCGCAATGCAGCATTTTCATGCTCTTATGTGCTTTGATTCTCCTTTTCTTTCTGTCTCTCTTGAAATGAGTGCATGAACTAATTTGAGTGCTTTTTGCTTGTATTTTGTGCCCTTGGATTGCATCCATATGCTAGTCTTGTGCAAAGAGTGCTTTTTTTTCATTGGCTGTGCTAACTTATTTTTGTATTTTCCACAGGGCTTACTGAAGTGGTTCCTACTCAAGCTGACGTGGGATCTGCGGGCACTGAAGTACCACTTCCCAGTGTACCAATTGATTTTGCTGCAGAAGAGCCTATTACTGTCCATGTTGAGGTGGAGACAGATTCAATTCAGGCTACAATGGGGCCTGTCTGCATTGAAGCACCTCTTCCCAGTGTACCACTTGACGTTGCTGCAGAAGAACCTGTTACTGTCCGTGTTTGACAGACTCGGAGAAAGGAGAAAATCGGCCTTCAAAGATGCAGCCCAAGAAGAAAATCCACCTCCAAAGTCATCACAGAGCAAGAATGTAGCTGCAATAGCACAGAAGATATCTCAGCAACGAGTTTCAAAACTGTCAGTCCTGAAAGAAGCTGGTGTCGAGAGATGGCTTGTCTGATGACGCCTCTAAATTACTAAGAGTCGCTCACAGTATAAATCCAGGTTGGCAAGGTCCGAGAAGAAATTGAAAGAAGCTAATAGTCGATTGGTAGACTTAGAGAAGCCAGAAAGTCATGCAAGAGTCCTCTCAGAACAAAATCTCGCCTGCACTTAATGTTCACACTAACTGACTATGTAGGTTTTTTTCCTGCGTAACAAACGCACACTTACATTTGTGCACAATTGCGCACAATTTTGTGCATTAAAGCGTACAATATCAACCTACATAAGGATGCGTAGGAATTTGTGCATGATTGCGCACACAATTTTGTACATAGCTTGCGCAGGAGAACATTTGGTACCAAACGCATGGATAAGTGCAATTTAGCGCATGAAATTTGTGCAATTTAGCGCATGAAATTTGTGCGTGTTTAGCGCAGAAAAACCTACACAAAGGAACTTAGAAAATGTATGGTTCTTGTGAACTCTAACAACAAAGAGGCAATTAATAGTTATCTGTAAATACATACACTCTCATATTGTATGGTGTGCTCATACACAGCTTGACAGAATGAAGAATGTCCTTCCATAATTTAACAAAGTGACGAATGCCCATAACTAATGGAATAAAAATGACAAATGTCCATAAGGAACTGAGTGATATTCAGCCTATCACAACACTACATGTAGCTGTTTCTGTTAGACAATCATGCATAATGACTCCTGCATTTCTGTATCCTATTCTCATCTAGATTGACTCACTGCAGGGGCAACAAAATATTCCTTGATAGACTTTCCGAGGCACTGAAATCTTTGCAGCCAGTAACAGGTTTTAGAAACTAACATTCCTCCTCACCAGACTTCGATGAGGGTGGTGAACATTCAGTAGCAGGGTGCTTGGTTGGGCTGGAGTGGAGAGGGCTGATCCTAAGTGATAACCTCCCTTTGACACCTTGTTGACTACTACACCGTAGTGTTTTCTGGGCCCTCCAACAGGTGGGAGTAGGAGACACAGCCGGCATTTGAGACACGTTTATCACTGCTTCTTCCATTTTAATGATAGACAATGCCATGGGCACGTAGAAAAGTTCACAACACTTGAAAGTCCCAACGATACATTGAAAGAACAACAAATTGACTGGATACAATTGCAATTGCAATGCTAATCTGCAGTTCGTTCGTTCTCCTGGAGGAGAGGGGAGTGGTAGGGAGGGGTGCCATCATCTGCTGCTATGAGAAATTGTGCGCCAATCTCCAATTTGCCGTTCTTGATTGATGCCACCGATTGATAAATTGGATAAATCATCTGGAGAAGAGCGTGGGTAAACATTTCCACTATCTTGATTTGTGCAGAGCATGCTCTCGCTTTCTCATTGCTACGACTTCAACTCGTATTTGCATTTTCGCTGAACCCCAGTACCCCAGCAGAAGGCAAAAGTGGAAGGTGGATGTAAACATGCAAACCAAAACAACTGGTTGGCTGCTCACAGGCCTTGCCGGCAGAGGCATACAGCCCATGAATTCTTCTGTGATGAACTTGCACCTCCTTTCCCTACGCCAGATCAATTATTTTCTTAATTGTTAACTAATCTTGTCACGCCATTCGCCGAGTCCTGGTTGTCTCTGTGGCCTTGTGGTCATGCTTGCCTATCTTATCACTTCTTTTGACTTTGATAATTATTTCTTCCTAGTTTCTGAAGTACTGTGTTTTTATCTGACTATTTCTCTGTGAAGATTCTGCTCCTTCCTTTGTAGCACTCCTTCATTAAAAATTGACGACTTCCTCTTTTGCTTGCAATAGCTATATTATGTTATCAATAACCTAAACTCCAGCAGTAGCTGGCTATGACCTCTTTGTTTCTTTTGTCCTGTCTTATACATGGTTGCTTTGGTTTCAGGTAAATGACAATACGCAAGAAAATGGAATACTTTCTTACTAAAAAGAAACTATTCTCACCATGAATCACCAACAGCTTTCCTGTCAGCCGTTGCAGCTTTGGTCAATATCGCCCAGGTCTGAGCATGCCAGCAGGTGTATTAAAGTGAGTATATTTTCCTATTTATGCATAGAGTAGGCTGCCATAACCTTCACATGAGGCAGGGATCCGTTTCCATAGGTATCCATGCTTGTTTTATTGTTGCCAAGGCTGGGCATTGTATTCGAGTGAGGTCAGATTCAGAGCCGCATTAGTTATCATTGCTGTTTCTAGTGGGCAACTTGCATGGAATTCTGAATCAAATGAAATGTGTTTCATTTTGCATGATTTAAATGTTGATTCATGTCTGATTTGTTTAAGTGTTTTGGATTTCTGTTACAGCTCACCGTTAAATCGGCTATGACTTTTACTTGACTCAACCAATCTAATCTACAATTGACCGTATGTTGCCTCTGCTACCAAGAGAAATTCGAAGGAATCAAGGCTACTTCTGAGGTAAGATTGTCTAACTATTGTTGGACATAACTCCCTCCTTTAGTTTTGGTTTCTGTTCTCTTTACCCATTTTGTTATTATTTTGCAGATGCTCCCAACACAGCAACAAACCGGAAAAAGGATATTAGGCAATAGCTAGTGTACTGTTGAAGTTCCTTCTCATGTGTTGGTGCTTTAAATTTTTGTAATAGTTACAGGTTATTAAAATAGGTCTTTCTCTGCTGAAGCCTTGTCTCTTTTATTTTTTTGTAAACAATTTGTCCATTAGAATTTAGTATTGTAACAAGAGACAAATAAGTATGTATATACAGAATTTATATAAATTCTAATTAAAAAGTAGAGAGTGTAATAACATAAGAATAGAACAAAAATAGAATACTTGGCAGAGGCACAAGTTAACTCTAATTGAATTCAATTTAAGCTTATCTTCTTCAGGAGCTCTTGCTCTGATGGAGTCACAATATCAGGCCTTGATTTCTGACCTTGTTCAAAGACATTAGCAAAGCAGGTAGCCAAGAAGTGGAAGGTGTTTCTCCACCCGAGAGGATACTGCACATTGAACACGAAGTATGATTTGAAAAGCACGTCAATTGCTTTCATGATAGACCCACTTGCAATTTGCATTGCTTTTTGATCCAATACCAAAAAAAATCTTGTAATGTTATTATACAGGGGGCTTTTCACCAGAATCAAATACGGCTGGATCGAGCTCTCACTTTCTTCAATTTTGTCACAGACAAATAAGTCTATGTCTTGTCCAAGCTGAAAGAAAACAATGACAATGTTTTGAAACTTTTCAAATGTATATGCAATTCAAAACAGGTAATTTCATTAAAGTCAAGAGAAAGATGAAAGGTACCTGCACCACTTCTATCAAATCCTTCAAATCAAAATTGAGGCTTTTGCTTTTAGGGTCTCCTTTAGACCTCTTATCTCTAGGAAGACTGTTGGCCAATAGCACCAGTGCTTTTATCGAGTCTGCAAAGTATTTAAAAAGTTGTGTTCATTAGTAATAAAAATATTTGCCATTTAGACAATTCTCTTAACACTTACCATCCTCGAATGGAATTGTTGCACTGCAGCTTGGAAGTGTTAGTATGCCCGGTATGTGCTTCAAAAAATTTTTGCAAAGATCATTTGACGAGGGGTGCAGTAACTTGTATTCCTCTTGAAGCTGACACAAAAGCATCAATGAATGATAATGTTGAACATTTCAGAAAGCTTGAGGTAAGTTAAATAAACTTCCAAGCACTCAGCAGTAGTAAGCAGATATACTCACAATTTCACCATCATAACTTATCAGATGGGGATATTTTTTCAGCATCTGACCTACAGGCATCTGATTTTTCCTGTCATTTTGTCGAATCTTAAAAGTGCCTTTCATTCCGTTAATGATTGTAGATTTTTCACTCCTCCCCGGCATTAAGAGTGCCATTGATTCAATAGCCTGTAAGAGTGAAAGATAAAATGAGACATGAAAATTAGCAGCAGTGGTCATTCAGCAGAAGCATGCTTTGAGTATATTTATTTTTACTTGATTTGTGACTGAGGGTGCAGGGTCATCCACATCAACAGAAACTGTAGCAGAAGATTTCCTTTTTTTAGATTTACGTGTCCTAAATTTGCTCTGAATAGATCGTGCAGAATTGGCAATCCAGCCTCTACCATTTCCCCTCTCAAAGAGAGCGTTCTGAAAAAATAAGTCTGTGTTACGCACTTTTAAAATTATTGGAACATCTTGGCAGGAAAAAACTGAATTTCAAATCGTACCCAAGGATAGGTAGTGACGCCATCTGACCTAACTTGAAACTTAGGATACTCCAGGACTATGGATTTTGCCAGTCCTTCACGCATATCTGCCGATACATCTGTTGGCTGACTGAAATTACACAAATAAAAATATAAGTAGCTAATTCATTAAAATTTGAAGGGACATCACTTTGTGATAGTGTTTTCTGTACTTAGCAATTTTGTAGAAGAGGTGTCGTGTTAAGAGCCTTACGATAGAGGCCCTATCATTTTTATAGAGTATCCCATCTCGATTTAGTTTGTCTATTTGTTCCTTCAGTTTGTCATTTCCTTCCAAGTACAGTTCTTGCAAAATGGCACCTATATCGTACTGCAAAATAAAACCGTTGCCTTTAAATAATATAACTTCAAAATTTTCAAATGAAATCAAGGGACAAATGAAACATAAAATGATGGACTCACATGAGGCAGAGTAGGTTTAAGCTTTAAAAGTTCTTCATGATCAAAAGAGTCCCTATTTCCTGTAGATGGCCCTGGTTGAGGAGTTTTGGAACTCAACCTTATGACTTGATCTGAATGAGATTGCGATGGTTGGGAGTTGCTTCCCAAAGACTTGAGAGGTGTTCTAGTTTCCTTCTTTCCAGCTGTATTATGGAACTGAAATGGTTTTCCATTCTCAACTGATCTCTGTTTGCTGCCTGGTTTACTTTTAGTGCTTTTCTTCCTTTTATTGTGTTTTCCAAGCTCTTTCAGCATTACGTCTGGTTGAAACGGTTTAAGGTTGAAATCTGCAAAAAGAAAACCAGTTATTTGCCTGTGCTCAAACTCAGTTTTATACTTTTGTAACTTCAATTTTTGTGTACATACTAGGATCCGCTTTCTTTGCCTCCTTATTTTGATGCTCATGTAGTTCAAATCTGGATTTTTCCCTGGATTTCAAATATTTTGGAATTCTTGCCCATTGAGCATCTGTGAAGTATTCTCTTACCTCTCCATAGTCCTCATTATCTTCACTTTCATCAACAGGCTGGACAAAATTAATTTTTAATGTTAATTCTTTTATTTTTATCATTGTAATACTTGTCACAATACTCGTGTACTTACATCTGAATCAAAGCTGCTGCTAGACAGAGACTGAGACAAGTCTTTGGATTCAACGATATCTGGCACTGTTTTGTTGGTTGAAACACCAAAGATTGTAGACTGCAAACAATCACTTGTATTACAATAACAGAATAAGTGAAAAAACAAAAACAAACCAGGACAATTATTCATTGTATCTTACTTTATAATTCAAACTTTCTGCTGACAGAAAATCACTTGGACCCTCCGAAATTTTGATTGGTGTTGAAATCCTACTCACAGATGGCAGTTGTTGGGTAAAACCTGAAGGGAGTCTTTCAGAGGCTGATGGTATCTGAAAGAAAGAAATAACATTGCCATAATAGTGAAAATTGTTTAACAAAACACAATCCTGAGGGAATCGAAAACTGATTGTGCGATGTTGGATCAATTACCTCAAGTTGCAGTTGTCGAGTAGAACCTGAAGTACCCTGTCTTTCAGAGGCGGATGGTTCCTGAAAGAAAGAAATAACATTGCCATAATAGTGAAAATTGTTTCACAAAACACAACCCCAAGGGAATCGAAAACTGATTGTGCGATGTTGGATCAATTACCTCAAGTTGCAGGGGTGTCCAACTGACATAAATCTCTTCACCTCCTTTGAAATTATATTTTCTTTTGATTTCCGTTTTCTGATCAGAATCTATATTTGTCATGAAAAAAATAGGAGCGTATGCTTGGCGTCTTCGTACCATGGCTTCGTCGTCTTCGCACCACTCATCAAATTCCTTCTTTAAACCCTTCATATCATTGGGCTCAATGTCTAAAGCTACCTTTCGGCCTTCCACACACACTTTGACCTCCACTGACATGGTAAATACTAAAAGTAATACTAAATATTCATTAATCCGTCCTACATTCAGACCAGCTGATAACTGTCACCTTTTCAAAAGTCGCTCGTTTGCGTAGCGGTTAATGAGCCAGGTTTGCCAACCGTAGCCCGGCAAACATAACTAAGAAGATAAATTTTGCCTCGACTAAAGGCATAGTTTCTCTCGTAAATAATTTTGAACTCTCTTGGAAATAATTTAAAAAGGTCTCTTTCACTGCGCTTTTCAATGAAAACCTTTCCGTGACATAGCTTTTGTTCCACTGTTTCAATGTTCTGAGTGTGCAAGATTGGGGTCCTTTCCGTCGGCTGAATCTTATGGAAGGCGGTGAGTCGTTTACGGTGTCTCTTCCGGCGTTTTCGCCATGTGTGTGTAGTTATGTGTGTGTGTTTGTTGAAGTCAGCATACACCAATTTCAAAGTTTTCACTACAGAATTTGTGAATAACAGAAGTCTCGTGATTTGACTTGTTTCAGAAACCATCGGCAGATGTGTGAACGTATTTGCGTGTCAGTGTTTGTCTTCGAATGCGGTGGAGCTCGATTTCTGTTTCATCAGCAGTTAACCTAAGTCGTCTTGTACACTGGACTCCCTCGACTCCGTCGAAAAAAAATAAGGAAATTTCAACTGTTGGTGAGTTAACTTTAGTAGGTGCATGCTTAAAATCATGTCGTATGGTCTTAAGTGCTGTTCAATGAGAATTATGTTTCAGGTTCAACCAGGTTACCATTCATATCTCTGATTTTTTATGAAAGGTTTTGATGAGGTCTTGACAGTGTTTTCATGTGACTATTGGCTTCCAGGCACAGGTACTTGTGTTTCTATTACTTTTTCTTTGTATTTGATGTTTTGTGGAGCAGCTCTGATTTCCATACTACTGTATTTTTGAACCAATCTTTTTAATTTGTTCCAGGTGTCCAAGATGCGTAAAAGATCTCTTGAATTCAGTTGTGCTGAACCAAGTTACCATTCGTATCTCTGATTTTTATGAAACGTTTTGATGAGGTCTTGACAGTGTTTTCATGTGACTATTGGCTTCCAGGCACAGGTACTTGTATTTCTATTACTTTTTCTTTGTATTTGATGTTTTGTGGAGCAGCTCTAATTTCCATACTACTGTATTTATGAACCAATCTTTTTAATTTGTTCCAGGTGTTCAAGATGCCTAAAAGATCTCTTGAGTTCAGTTGTGCTGAATGTCCCACTCTAGGGAAAATTTTTGTACTTGATTCCATCAACCTTCATTATCGCAACTGCCATGGTGGCATTGCCATTTTTAGATGTAGTGTATGTAGTCTACCCTTCGATCACAAAACCTCTTTGATTCGGCACTTGAAACATGATCATGATACAGAGGGCAGTTTGGAGGATGGTGCCAGTGGTAGCAATATTGTTCAAGATGAAGTTGCTGACCAGCAACCAACCTCAACCTCATCCAATGTTGAAGAACAAGAAGAGAATGATGTGCTTACAAGTATCTCTCAAGATAGTGACTCTGATAATGCGCAACATTTGGTAGAAGTGACAGAAGAAGTAGCAGCGGAGGTGTGCAACCCTTATCCCGTTGTTGATCTAACTTCTGTTGCTGCTAATATTATTATGGAACTGCGGTCCACTGCAAGATTGACAGGTGTAGCTATTGAAAGGTTTCAAAAAGCTTATGAGAAACTGTTCATTGCACAAACTAATATAGTGAAGAACAAATTGTTTTCATCTTTGAAGGATCGAGGAATTCCAGCATCAGATATTGTGAATCTTTTAGATGAAGTGCACAAAATTGAAAATCCATTCAGCGGGTTGAAGACAACTGACGAACAACTGGATTATTTTGAAGAAAAGTATGGACTTGTAAGACCTGAAGAGTGTCTTCTTGACACACGGATTGACAATCGGCTTGATCCTAAAACAAATGAATATGTCCCAACCCAAGTCACTGAATCATTTCAATCTGTGTCAATAATTGACACCTTAAAGTTAGTTCTTTCTCAGAAGAAAAACCGTGACAACATTTTCCAAGACTACATTCGCAAGAAGAGTGGTGTTTTAAAATCATGGATGGATGGATCTGACTTTGAAAACCACCCTCTCCTGACCAAGTACCCCAAAGCGCTTCAGATATGTCTATTTTATGATGATCTGGAAATTGCTTCCGCCTTGGGATCTAAAACGATAATTCACAAACTTGGTGTGTTCTTCTTTCAAATTTTAAATGGACCAGCTCATCTGAAGTCAAAACTTTCCTCTATTCATCTTCTTGCTTTGGCGTATGCTGATGATTTGAAGAAGCCTGGTGCATTCAAAAAGGTTCTCTACAAATTTGTCCAAGATATGAAAAAATTGGGGTCTGAAGATGGAGTTGTCATCGAAATTGATGGACAACAGCTAATCATGAGAGCTGTTCTTGTAACTGTGGCAGCAGACACCCTTGCAGCACATCAACTGCTTGGCTTCCTATCTCCCGCTGCTCGCTTCTTCTGCAGAGTTTGTATGATCAGCCGCCCCCTTTTTAGGCTTGACGGTAATCTGGAAGCTGAATTGAGAACACCTGAAAATCATGACAAGCAAGTTGTTGAAGTAATAAAGGTGCCCAAACTTTCCACTCAATATGGTGTTAAAGAAGAGTGTTGCTTGAATGAAGTTCCTTACTTCCATTGTGTGGATGGCTCTGTTTTTGATGCATTTCATGACCTCCTTGAAGGCGTTGTCCCTGCAGTTCTCAAGATGGTTTTAAGAAATATCATATACATTAGAAAGGCTTTGACTGTTCCAGAATTTAATATGAGAATAGCATCTTTTTCATACGGCATCCCAGATAGCAAGAACAAGCCATCTCCCAACTTCACCCTGAATATGTTGACTGGTCACGACAAGCCTAAACAGACTGGAACCCAAATGTGGTGCTTAATGCGTGCATTTCCTTTTCTTGTAGCTGATTGTGTTGCAGAGGGTGATCCTCACATGGAGGTTATATTTGTGACTCAAGACATTATGAAAATTGTTTTCTCTTTCGAAACTACTGATTATGATTTGGACCACTTAGATACACTGATTTTCAGATTGATTGACATGTTTAAGTCTCTCTATGTTGATGCCCCAGACCCTAATGAAGAGGAAGAAGAAGCAGATCAAAGCAATCAAGGCGGAGAAGAAGAAAACGAAGCTGATGTAGATGAGGAGGGCCTTGAAGCTGATGAAGATGATGTGGGTCCTGAAGCTGATGTAGATGAAGTGGTCCCTATGGCTGAAGCACAGCCTCAGGAAGGACAACAACAGCCACAACAAAGACGTCGGAGAAGGAAGAAACCTCTGAAAGTCCATTTATTTAATAAACTCCATCATCTAAAACATTATGCCGAACAGCAAAGGAAAAAAGGCCCAATTGTCAGATTGTGGTGTGCCAAATTTGAGGCCTGCCTCAAGCTCTTTCGGCAATATGCCAGTATATGTTGCAACTTTAAAAACCCACCCAAAACGATGGCCCAAATGTTCCAGTTGAGCCACCTTTGGTCTTTGTTGCATGATGATGAGTCCACTTCTGTCGAATACAAGCCTGAATCAAACCTTACCCCTGAAAATAGTATTCATAAGGAACTTTTTGTCAAAGCTGGTATTTCTGCTTTTGTTGATACGAAGAAGGTCACTATCCATGGTGAAGAATACCGGCCTGGACTGTTTCTAGTTTTTGCTGGAGAAGAACCCAAGTTTTCATTAATATCAGATATCTATGTTGCACCTGAGAATTCAGTGTATTTTCTTGTGAAACCATGGAAACTTGTTGGGTTGAGCGGCAAGTATAATGCATACCAAGTTACTAAAGATGATCTCTCAGACTATGCACTTCTAAGTGTGTCCTCTGTTTCTAACTTTCGCCCTCTTGCCCCTTGGAGCTGTGGCAGTGGCAACATCTATATTGCCCCTCGTACTCAAGTACTCTGATTTTATGTTCTCTTCACATGGAACTTTGACGCATCAGAAGTAAGTACCCTCCTTATGTTGTATCAGTTGCTTAGCACAACTGTTCCCACTGATACCAGCTCTAAATTTCTCTTTTCCCTGCAGGTCATTTATTCTGCCTTCATCGCAGTTTCAGAAAATAAATCTAATTTAATTCAATGATTAAAATTTCATTTGCTAATTATGTTTACTCGACAAAGACACAAAAATTGTCTTGTCTTATTGGATAAATACTATGGCTGTTTCCAAGATATTTGAAAATCAACAAAGATTATTATTTTTCATTACTTTGTCTTTGAAACCTCATACTTGTTATAAAATCATCTCATTCGAAGGTATGAGTCCCTCATGCAATGTTTAGCTTGTGTTCCCTACACTTATTGAATTAACTTGTCATTTTTATATTTGAATTACAGATTTGTGTCCAGTAAATGAAGTTGTGTGGGAAGTGGAGTTACACATGCATGGCTGCCTCCCTGGTCTGTATGCAAGGGAAATTCTTTTTTCTAGTCACCTACATGAGGTGGATACTTGGTTCTTTGTCTTGGCGCTCTTTGTGTGTTTTCACAAGGTAAAACCATTTACATTCTTTTTGATTTTTATTCATTATGGACTGTATTTTGCAAGTAATTATGAACATTCTAATGTATAGGTTCATCTTTGCCGTGATGTTCTGTACCAGCGGAGGAAATATCTATTTCCCTTGGTACTCAAGTTCTCTGATAACATGTTCTCTACATGTACATTGCTGCATTACAGGTAAATTGCCTCTCATGTTGTAATAGTTTCTCAGTAAAAGTGTTTTAACTCATATCAGAACTAAATTTTTCTTTTAATTGCAGGTTATTTGTTCTGCCTTAAATGCGCTTTAATTATATGAGTGTTATGAAATGTAATGTTACAAGTTTGCTTCTTTAATTATGATAAATGAACAAGGACACAAAGATTGTCTTGTGTAATGGGATGAAAACTAATGCTGTACATAACTTATAAAGTCAACTAGGATTATTATTTTTTCTTTACTTTTTGTGTGCAAAGTCACGTTTGTATCATCAAATCAATGGGTACGTGTTCTTAATGCAATGTTTACTTTGTGTTTTCTACATTCAGTTAACTAACATGTCATTTTTTTTTAACTACAGCATATTCTTCTGCTGAGGGCTCAACTGGAGACCAATTGCAATTGCAGGCCAATAGATGAGATGCCAGAACACGCTGCCTCTTGTCTCCTTAAATTGACTGAATAATCCGTTCTAGGGCATTATTCTTATTTCTCTTGTTTCTTGGTAAGTTAATTTATCACATTGGGCACTTGGGGTGATGTTTCTATATTTTCTTTGTTTCTCTACTTGTCTTCATTTTTTTTTTAATTTTTGTTTTCATATGTTTAGATTTGAATTCAGTCAATGGAGTTGTGTCTATTATACATATTGAATGCTGTTTTCTTGAGCGGACTGATATGATTCTGTAATTTCATTTCTTAACTTACTGAATCAAAACTGCTCAGAGTTATTAGTGAGTATTCCTCCTGCCATATTAAGATTGCCTTGCCTTCATTAGTTCTTTAACATATTGCTTTCTTTTTGTTAATGCAGCACGTCGTGCTGCTTATGCCAAGCTTGAAGGACAGCGCTAAATGCGAGCTATGGGCTCTGATGCTGGCTACAGTTGGCTTCATAAGCTATTTCTAATGAAGGCTCTAAAGATTTCATCTGGCCTGTAAGTAAAACCACTGCCTCTGTGAAGGTGATGTCTGCTTTTTATCCTTTGATCTAATAACAAATTTTATGTTGCAGGAGCTAAAATGATAGTGACAGCTTAACACATGCCAGGTTGCGTTCCAGGTCAAGGAAATTTTTTGTAAAAATGACGTAGATGAACTCATCACTTTTATCTAAGTCTCCACTCAGAGAGTTGTCTCAAGGTAAAAACAACAACTTTCAGTTTTTTATTACTTTATAGTTCACTGTTTGCATGGAGTTGTAATTTAATTCGTTACATTCTCTGGTGTAGGTTCAGCTTTGTGGTGATGATCTTTTCCAGCGGAGGCAACATCCATTTGTCCTCCTCCTACTCAAGTTCTCTAATAAAATTTTTTCTTCGTGTTGAATATTGATGCATCAGAGGTAAATTACTTGTCATGTTGTAACAGTAGCTTAGTGATAGTTCTTCTTTTGTTATCGGCACTAAATTTCTTTTATCTCTGCAGGTTGTTTGTTCTGCCTTTATTGTAGTTTTATAAAATAAGTATTATTTAATGCAATAATTGAACTGCGCTTCGATAATTGTGCTGTATCCACAGACACAAAAAATGTCTTGTCTAATGGGGATGAAAACCATAGCTGGTCACCTGGTTCTAAGTCTTGTCTCCGTGTGTTCCCTCTTGGTAAGAACTTTCTTTTTGATTTCTATTTAATTTTGACTTTAGTTGAGAAGTGTTGTCTTTTGATGCTGGTCATTTTTTCGTGCAGAACCATTCGGGCATGAATCAGAGCATGCTTGTGCTAGGGCATACATCAGAGCATGCTGGCATGGGCCAGGGGCAGCTAGGCATGGCAGAGCAGGCAGCCGCAGCCAGGGCCAGGCAGGCAGCCAGGCAGCCAGCCAGGCAGCAGCCAGCCAGCCAGCCAGGCAGGCCAGCCAGCCCAGCCAGGCAGCCAGCCAGCAGCCAGCCAGGCAGCCAGCCAGGCAGCCAGCCAGGCAGCCAGCCAGCCCAGGCAGCCAGCCAGCGCAGCCCAGCCAGGCAGCCAGCCCAGGCAGCCAGCCAGGCAGCCAGCCAGGCAGCCAGCAGGCAGCAGCCAGGCAGCCAGCCAGGCAGCCAGCCAGGCAGCCAGCGCAGGCAGCCAGCCAGGCAGCCAGCCAGGCAGCCAGCCAGGCAGCCAGCCAGGCAGCCAGCCAGGCAGCCAGCCAGGCAGCCAGCCAGGCAGGCAGCCAGCCAGCCAGCCTAGCGGACTAACAGGCGAGCAGGCAGGGTAGCATAGGCCAGCTGGCAGCCAGCCAGCCTGGACAGGCACCAGACACGCAGACACTTACAATGAAAGCTGTTTACAACAAGACACTAAACATCCCCTCTGCTCTGTAAGTAAAACCATTGCCTCTGTTAGAGTGATGTCTGCTTCTTATTCTTTGATCTTCTGTCCATGTTTATGTTGCAGGTGCTATAATGGTAGTGGTAGCTTAATACATGCCAGGCTGTGTCCTTGGTCTGTAAGCAAGGAAAATGTTTTCAAAAATCACTTTGATGAACTTGGGACTTGTTTCTTAGTTTTGGCTCTGAGAGTTGTCTCAAGGTAAAAACAACAACTTTCTTTTTTATATTAATAATAGAGTTCACTTTGTTTGCATGGAGTTGTAATATCATTCTTCACATACTCTTTTGTAGGTTCAGCTTTGCAGTGTACCAGCAGAGGCAATATCTATTTCCCTTGGTACTCAAGTTCTCTCATAACATGTTCTCTACATGTTGTACATTCATGCATCAAAGGTGAATTGCCTCTCATGTTGTAATAGTTGCTCTGTAAAAGTGTTTTAACTCATATCAGAACTAAATTTTTCTTTTATCTGCAGGTTATTTGTTCTGCCTTAAATGCAGTTACATTAAATGGGTGTTATTAAACTCAATGATTTTAGTTTGCTTCTTTAATTAGGATTAATGAACAAAGAGGCAAAAAATGTCTTGTCTAATGGGATGAAAACTACAGCTGTTCCTAAGATACGGATTCAACAAGGATTTTTATTTATTTTTGTGTGCAAAGTCACATTTGTTTTTAAATAATCAAATCAATAGGTATGTGTTCTTCATGCAATGTTTAGTTTGTGTTTCCTTCATTCAGTTAACTAACATGTCATATTTTTTTTAAACCACAGCATCTTCTTCTGCTGAGGGCACAACTGGAGCCCAATTGCAATTGCAGGCCATTAGATGAGATGCGGGAACACTTTGCTGCTTGTCTCTTGAAATTGGCTGAATAACCCGTTCTCGAACATTACTCTTACTCCTCTCCTTTCATGGTAAGTTTATCAAGTTGGGCATATTTTCTTTGTTTCTCTACTAATCTATCTATATAGTGTTTTTTAAAATATTTTTCTATTCATATTTGCAGATCTGTGTTTAGTTAATGAAGTTGTTTGTTTTGTACAAATTGAATGCTGTTTTCTTGAGCAGACTGGTATGATTCTGTAATTTCCTTACTTAATTAATGCAATGATTAAACTTCGCATTGTGCTTCATCAACAGACACAAAAATTGTCTTGTCTAATGGGGATGAAAACTATAGCTGGTAACCTCGTTTTAAGTCTTGTCTCCGTGTGTTCCCTCTTGGTAAGAACTTTCTTTTTGATTTCTATTTAATATTGACTTTTGTCGAGAGGTGTTGTCTTTGAATTCTGGTCATTCTTTCATGCAGAACCATTTATCCGAGGTTTTTTTTATTATCAGATCCATGCATCCATGTTCAGGGCTTGACATGGGAGAGAAGTGGCTGGGGGCCAGGGGGCAGCCAGGTCATCAGGTAGACAACCCACGAGAGAAACAGCCCAGAAGGCTGCCAGCCACCTAGGCTGCCAGGAAACCAAGCCAGCAGGCAGCAAGGCAGCCAGGACTGCAGGGATGCAGGCAAGGCTCCAGGCATGCAGACGCTTACATTAGATAAAACCTGTTTCACAACAAGAGTCCGAAGATTCCCTCTGAATGGTAAGTAGAATCATTGTCTCTGCTGGAGTGGTGTATGCTTTGTATCCTTCGATCATATATTTATTTTTATGTTGCAGGAGCCAAAATGATATTGAGAGCTTTACACATGCATGGCTGGGCTGCTTCCCAGGTCTTAAAGCAAGGGAAATTTTGTTTGTAGTCACCTACATGAATTGGATACTTGGTTCATTGTCTTGGCTTTCTGTGTGGATTTTCACAAGGTAAGAATATTCACATTCTTTTTTTAATTTTTATTTATCATTGACTTCGTTTGCAAGGCGTTGTCATTTAACTTGTACTCAAGCACTCTGGTAACGTGTTCTCTTCACATTAAAAATTGATGCAGCGAAGGTAAAGTTGCTTCTCATATAGTAATATTTGTTCAGTGAAAGTGTTTTTACTGATATCAGGACTAAATTTTCCTTTCTTCTGCAGGCTATTTATTCTCCCTTAATTGCAGTTACAATAAATGAGTGTTATTAAACTCAATGTTTTTAGTTTGCTTCTGTACTTGTTGTTTACCATCAAAGACACACTGATTGTCTTGTCTAATGGGATGAAAACTAAAGCTGTTCCTGAGATATTCACAAGTCAACTAAGACCATAATTGTTTCTTTCCTTTTTCTGTGCAAAGTCACATTTGTTTTAAAATCATCAAATCAATAGGTATGTGTTCTGCATTATGCAATGTTTAGTTTGTGTTTTCTACATTCAGTTAACTAACATGTCATTTTTTTTAACTACAGGAATTCTTCTGCTGAGGACACAACTGGAGACCAATTGCAATTGCACGCCAAGAGATGAGATGCCAGCACACTCTGCCTCTCGTCTCCTGAAATTGACTGAATAACCAGTTCTCGTACATTACTCTTGCTCCTCTGCTTTCATGGCAAGTTAATCAAGTTGGGCATTTGGGGTGATGTTTGCTATATTTTGTTTGTTCCTGTACTTATCTATTTTTTTTTTTTTAATTGACAGGCTTTTGTTAAGTCAATGGAGTATGCAGTTGTGTGTGTAATTTTGTTACACTTGCATGGCTGCATCTTTTGTTTTTGTAGAGACATCTCTCTGTTGAGATCTTTTTTAAGTCACCTAGATTATCTATTTACTTGGTCTTGGTGTGTGCTTTCTCAAGGTAAGAGCTTTTTTTTTCAAATTCTGTTTTATTACTGACTTTGGTTACAAAGGGTTGCTTTTTTATTCTGATAATTCTTTTGATCCATGTCCAGGACATGGGAGAAGGACGGCTGGGCAGCAGGGAGGCCAGCAGGCAGCGGGCACCAGGCACCAGGCAGGCAGGCGGTGAGACACCACCCAGGCAGCCAGGCAGAAGAAAGACTAGCAAGCAGGCAGGAAGGCTACTAGGCTGGCATTCAGACTAGCAGTCAAGCATGAAGGCAGGCTCGCAGACACACCAGGCAAGCGGACGTGCAAGATTTCTCACATGCAACAGAAAAAAAACAACAGATCAGTGAAGTAATTGTAGGTAGAATGCAAAGTGTGTCGTTTTTGTGGACTTTTGTGAGTCCTTTTCTCTCTATATTTTTCAAACAGGGTGTAGGTTGTTGTTCTTTTTATGGTATCGAATTCAAATTTGCTCAATATCCTCGAATTGAGATAGATGAACTGTATTTAATTATAAAGTACTGTAGAATTTTTGATCTTATGTGTATTCAGCTAAATTCAAAGATAATACTGTGTAAGAATATTCTTTGTATCTCTAAAGTGAAGAAATTAAATGAATTGAATTAAACTGTAATTATTGTGGATGTTTTTGTGTATGAGAAGGTAGTTTTTCCTGCGTTTCTCGCATTGATAATTTCTGCGCTGGCAAATGCAGAATTTCCTGCGCTTTAGCGCAGAATAATCCTGTGAAAATTTCTACGTACTACTGAACTTTTTTCTGCGCTGCTTGTGCACAATTTCATGCGTTTCATAAGAAGGCTTAATTTTGTGCGTAAGCTTGCGCAGAAAACTCTGCGCTGAAGTGCATGCGTAACTTTGTACGCAAGCAATGCAGAAAATTATACGCTTTAACGTAGAAAAACCTACATAGTCAGTTAGTGTGCACGGGTATCACAACTTAGAGGTACACCCTGATGATCAACCCAAAACAGCTATCATTTTACCAGAAGATTTGGGACTACCACACAGACAGTTTGAATACACTCGATTGAGTTTTGGGCTCTCTGCAGCCCCAGGGGCATTCCAACAAGTCACAGATAGACTAGTCACACCAGCCTTAGAACCCAACAAGCACAATGATTTGGGAAATACTGTATCTGTTTACCTGGATGATGTCTGCATAGCTGGAGACAACTTCGAACAAATGTTGCAACGGCTGGAAGCCTTCCTTAATAGAGTCAGGGCTGGAGGGTTCCTCCTCAAAGCCAAAAAGTGTGAGTTGTTTCAAAAGGAGATTTCCTTCTTAGGACACATCCTGTCTGAAACAGGAATAAAAGTAGATTCAAATAAAATTGATAAAATCATTCATTGGCCACAGCCAAATGACAGTTCAGAATTAAAATCATGGCTTGGTTTAGCCGCCTACTATGGCAAATACGTACCTCATATGGCCAGCAAAGTTTCACCTTTGTACCGACTACTCAGAAAAGGAGTCCACTTTGATTGGACACCTTACTGTCAGGAAGCTTTTGACTCCGTCAAAACAGCTCTCACCACTGCGCCAGTCCTTGGTTCTCCAGACGTGGATAAAGGACCATTCACGTTGACTTGTGATGCCAGCCTCACTGGCCTAGGAGCAGTCCTAACACAAGAACAAGACGGCAATGAAGTAACGATAGCTTATTGGTCTAAAACATTAACCCCAGCACAGAGAAATTACTGTGTCACTCATAGGGAGCTCCTAGCATTGGTAGAGTCAGTAAAAGCCTTCAATCATTATCTAGCAGGAGCACCTTTCATAGTAAAATCAGATCACGCAGCCCTACAGTGGCTTAAAAATTTCAAAAACCCTACTGGCATGCTAGCAAGATGGTTAGAAAAGCTGTCTCCATACAAATTCACAGTCGTGCATGAAAAAGGCACTAACATCAGTCATGCGGATGCACTAAGTAGACGGCCAGACAGGCCATGTGAACCCAACTGCAAAAAGTGCACAAAAATCGAAGCTAAGGACGCAACAGCTTACCTCATCAGCTCCACTCTTGTGGAAGGGTTAACAATCCAGGAAGTCTTCACATCAGTACTCCAGGCCCCCAACACAGCACCAGTAGTTCACCCAATCAGCTTGGAAGGGAAGTTCTCCTCTCCACTGGCCAGGCAAATCGAAGAGTGGTACCAAGTCAAAAGAGACTTCCACTCGAACACAGACAAAACATTCCCCGGGCTGTGCACCTACAACAGAAACAACAAAACAATCATTAGTCTCATTGTCAAGGAAAAGATGGAACACAGACCACACGTTAATGATGTAGAAATAGCATTAAACATCCTGAAAGCCTGGCTCATCAACAGAAACATCACCGAGTGGAATTTACCAGAGTTTGACTATTACAAAAGTCCAGAAAACAATTTAGAAATAATTCCGCTACTCTACAAAGTATTCAAAGACACAAATATGACCATCAACATCTGTCACCACCACACTCAGCCCGACCCAACTAAGGTGAGAACTTGTGAAGAAAGTTGTCGCATTTGCCAAACAGTTGAGGAAAATAAAAGGGTTACAGAAATTCTACACACTGCAATCTCACCTGAAGGGGAAACACCACTAGAGATGGCATCACTGCAGAGAGCAGACAAAAACTTGGCCCAAATTATCACAGCAGTAGAGAAAGGCCAGAAAGGCCATTCTTCAAGATGTCATCAAGTTTGGGCGCAACACCAGAACACTTTGGCACCAGTACAACTCCTTAACACTTCAAAATGGAGTACTCTACAGGAGGTTTGAAGACCCAACAGGGGACCCTGCAAAAGAAACGCTGCAATTAATATTACCCAGGGCCAGTGTAAAATTCACAGTCAGAGAATACCATCAAAACTTGGGAGAAGGGAATCACTTTGGTGAAACAATGACACTCAATCACCTACGTAGGTTTTTCTGGTGGCCCAGAATGGCCGATGATGTAGCAGCACACATATCCAATTGCGACACTTGTCAAAGGTTCAAGAAACCGAGACACCCCACCAAAAACGCAGCACTCAAAATATTCAAGGAAGGGACACTCCATGGCAGGTGGCATGTAGATATTTGTGGCAAAGTACCTAAAACAAAAGAAGGTTACGAGTACATATTAGTGGCAATAGAGGCATTTTCAGGCTGGCCAGTTGTAGTCCCACTTGTTAAAAATGATGCTTCAGAAATTGCAACTGCACTAATAACCCATGTTTTCTCAGTTTACGGAGCACCAGTCTCTATCCTTTCGGATCAAGGGACACCCTTTGAGTCACAATTATTCCAGGAATTAATGGACTTGTACCAGATAAAGAAATATCGAACAACAGCCTTTCATCCTTCAGCCAACGGAAAAGTGGAAAGGTGGATCAGAACCCTCAAGCAGCAGTTGGCAATGCTTGTAAACAAAGTCCAAAAAGAATGGGTGAAATATTTACCTCACATAGCTCAAGCGTACAGGAATTTGCCGAATCCAGTCCACAAGTTCTCTCCATACGAAATGATGTTTGGCACAACCATGAGGACGCCGCTCACACTAAACCAGGGAAGCCCACCATGGACGAAGGACGTAGGCACCATGCCACAGCAAATCAGAGAGCGCCTGGACCAAATCCACGAACTGGTCAGGGAAATGCAAGAATCAGCTGCAACAAAAATGAAACAACGATATGACAACACGGCAATGCTGACCCCATTCAAGGCAGGAGACAGGGTCTATCTCTACAGACCAAGAGGGATTAAAGGAGTCTCCCCAAAGTTAACATCACCATGGGAAGGACCCTACACTATACTAAGCACTGTTAAAAAAAGTCTGAAAATTCAGACCAATTTTTTCAGACCTAGTGGTCTGAATCTGAAATTCAGACTTGAGTCAGAATTTTCAGACAGTTGGTCTTAATTTTACACCTAGTGGTCTGAAAAATGAGTTTCGGACTCAAGAGTCTGAATATTTGGATGGCGCGGTACAAATTTTCGGCGTCGGGGTCTTAAAACAGTCATTTGTAGTAGAAGGTCTGAATTTTCATCCTGCGCAGTCTGAAATTGACGCTTTACGTGTTTTCTGATATAAGGCATGACTGCGTTTCAGGTGCTATGGACCCTGAATTGCTAGAGCAGTAGTAAATAAACTTTTGCTCAGCTAAGCGAACGGCCGTCCAGTGTTGAGTTTAAAATCAGCCTGCACTCCGCTGGTAGCTGCAGGATGCGACATGTTTGCCCTGGTTCCGGCCTGGACCGAAGCCCGGGTCACCCGAGCCGAGCCGCTCCGGCGGGGGCCAGCCGAGCCAGGCACACCGAGCCGAGCCGGGGCGCTCGGAAAAATCACCGCTGACCGGCGTGCCGGCCGAAGCCTACCTGCGCGGGGCGGGGGGAGAGGAGGGGGCCCTTAATCCCTCGGCCACTCGGGATTTCTAGACAGAATGCGTCAGTTTTAGCTTGTCTCCAGAGCAGTGCACATCGCATCCGAATACAAGTCCGCGTCGCGTGTCATCTTTCTTGTGACGCTCCGTCGTCAAGCAACGTTTTATGTGTTACATCGGCGCTCAGCACAGTGTGTACAGTGCCGTTTTGCCTTCGCCTTTCCGTGCTCCAAAATTGCTTCTAGGTGCGTGCAGTCACCACTCTAAAGCATCCGAAATCCGCGGCCAGCAGGCTGTGAAAGTGGGGTAGCCTTATACTGATATTGCGTCTTCCAAACTAAAGGGACGGGTGATGAGCGAGTGGGTGGCGTTTTGGAAATTTGTCACTCCTCTTTCATCCTCGTCCCCAAAGTATTTTCATCGCGCCGAAAAAGTTTCCACAAAGTGTGCATCTGGATCCAACATGCTGCTTTCCAGTGTTTACAGCTGCATCTTCTGGAGTCTTACATTCGAGGACTAGTTTTTTTTTTGGAAGCTCTCTCAGCAAAATATCATATCTAGTTAAAGTTTTGCGGAACTTTGGGTGCTACATTTAACAACAAGAGCTGTTTTACAACTGCTCTATTTAGTGCATGCATTCCATGTTTCTCAGCAATTTTAAACATGCATCTCCAAAACATAATATACATCCTGACAAAAGTGGTAATTTTGTAACCTAGGCGGCTTAGAATTCAAACCCGCGAGGTGAAAAATTCAGACTACCTGGTAGTCGTAAAATTCAAAGTACATGCTAGTCTGAAAATTCAGACGACAGGTGGTCCCAAAATTCAGAGTGTCCGGGGGTCTGAAAATTCAGACCACTGGGTTTCAAATTGACTTCATCCTAAAAAGTCTGAAAATTTCGACTTTTTTTTAACAGTGAGTATCTTAACGACTGTAACGCAAGAATTCAGAAGGAAGCTCACCCATATACCATGATGATAGTCCACACCGACAGATTGGCAGCATATCCAAACTCCGAGGAAGAGACTCAAGCTGCCTGGCTCACATACGTCTGAGTCATCCAATAACCAAAGACGACATGTCAACGGGCCAGCACGACTGACCAAAGGTGAAGGAAAGGGCAGCCTGGCCTTGCCCAGGTCTCCGGTATGGTCTGTGGCAATCACCGCCAGCCACCCGCTTGTGGTGCAGTTGTCGTGAAGCTTGCTGTCACAGAACCCGATGGTGAGCTCTCAACCTGACGGCGCTGCTGGCGCTGGTGGCGGCGAAGAGCAGCCTTCCAGCCCTGCGCTGCGAGGCTTTCTTCTGGTCCATCGGAGCCGCTCTCGAAGTGGAGTTCCGCTTTCATCCGCCTCACGCTGGCGGTGCCCCAGCAGACCACGCTAGTATTCGCGGCGGCGATGGCCGGGACCACCATGGCCGCGCTGCGGACGCTGGTGCTGCGGTCGGCGCCCGTTCCAGAGGCGTTGCTGGTCTTGACTAGTGTTCTAAAGGGTAGGAATATTCCCGGGAATTTAGGGTATTCCCGGGAACGTTCCCGGGCACAATCAAACCCCAAAAATGGGAAATTCCCGGGAATTTAAAAAATGGCTAAAAACAGCTGGTTTTTTGCAGGGAAAATGTAGAACACGCAAGGTATCAAGTAAAAATTATGAAACACATGAGTGTATTTCCATTTTTCTTTCAGAAGGGAACAAAACAAAACGTTTTGTAATCAAAAATTAGTTTTCTATCAAAAAATTTCGTATTAAAAAATTTAACTTTTATCAAAAGTGATGGGTTTCATATGAAGCAATGTTCCCGGCCAAGTGGGAATATTCCCGGGAATTCCCGGGAAGTCTCGGGAATATTCCCCTGAATGATTGTTCCCGGGAATTTTCGAACACTAGTCTTGACTGAGCCGCTCCCGACGAAAACTCCACTTACATCCCGACCCGGTCACGGAACCAGGCCGGGAACGGAAGAGGCAACTTCCAGCCCAACTACGCCGGCGGGGCCGCACCAGGGGGCTATCCCCGACATAAAGCCGAGGCCTTTCCCTGGCAACGACCCCGGGCCCCCGTACACAAAGGGGCCCGCCGGTACCCGGTTCCACTGGCCAGATGGAAAAGACTGTCTCCCGGATCCCAAGCCTGAGAACAGCCCCCGAGACCCCGACACCACAATGATGCCGAGAGTCCCGCCGGGAAAGCCGCGAAACGGCAAAGGTTGGAACGTCCACCAACAGGACACAGAGGATCTTCTTGAACCATTTGATCCACGACGGCAATCGAGCAACCATCGAGCAGCCCTCTTCTAGCTGTAGCCGAGCATCTTCCAAAACTTGAAAGCAGTGTCCTCAAGTCCAAACGCCCAGAGCAGTCACCAGCTTCAGTTCTTCACAGACGCACTCCAACCATGTCAACAAACAGCTACGAGTCACCGCCTGCTCGCAATCGGCACTCTGACGCCTCAGAAATGGTCACGTCCACATAACCTGCAACAGGAGAACCAAGCATGAGTCGAACCGGCCATGGAAGCACCGCCTGCTATGACGAACCGGAAGCAACCGGCCGCCATCTTGTCCTTGCCCGCCATCTTATATCAAAGTCAAACTCGAATCTAGACCCAGCTCAGCTACCAAATCGGAAATCGGAAAACATCTGCAAAAATGGCCCCCAGAACTTGGATTGCTCATAAAGGAACCAACGAAAAGGACTCTGCCCGCGAATTGAAGGATGGAAAGGTAAAGAAAACTTACCAAATACCCAAAACCAGCCACCACAAAGAATGGGCCAGGGAATCGCCACTTCAGCCAGAGGACACTCTCACAACGGATACGGATCGGATTACGCCACTGAAAGAGAATAACAAGCAAATTAAACAAACCAAAACATCACCGCTAGCAAAACTTTTTGAAAAAGAGGAGGAGAAAGAAAGGAAAGTAAGACAAAAGCAACACCAGGAGCTACTTAGAAAGAAAAAACGGGACGCAGAATTTAGAAGAGAGCAGCTCGAGCAAAGAGAAAAGATAAGAAAACAGAAAATTCAGGCTCAGCGAGAAAGAGAAGCCAGAGAAAGGAAGGAGTATGCGGAGAAGCTCAGAAAAGAAGAAGAGGCTCTAAGCTGGTTTGAAGACCCAGGATACACAAATTTGCTAGGAGCATGGGACTCAGCTTCGGAATCAGAAATTGAAGTCATAAATTTAGAAGAAAATGACTCAGACATTGAGGAAATATACTGCACAAGCCCAAAAACAATAAAAACTAGTGAAAAGAATCCAGAATACGTAAAGCAAGTGTTGGAATGCATGAGGGCTCAAGAAAAGGAAATGATGAAAGAAATAATGGAAATAGAATTCCAGATAAAAGCAATAGAAAAGGCAAACTCACCTCAGAAGGAGCAGCAGGATCAGCAGCCCAAACTCACAGCATGGGAAGCAGCTCAAATTGACACGACGATTCCAAGTCAGCCAGCACAACAGGCAGGAATTCCCTCGCAAAAATCCACATCACTGCAGCAAATAAAAACGAAACATGACGATAAAGCAATAGAAAACCAAGCAGGACAGTCAAGGAAAAGAGGAAAATCCAAAAGGTTAAGATGCACCAAGTGCCACTCAAGAGGGCACACTACATCAGAATGCAAACTCACCGAGGTAAACGAAGCCAAGTAGAGCAAGCAGCAGCAGGGAAGTAAGGGACGTCAGCAGCAAGTCCAACGCGTCTTGTCCTCGAGCAAAAGAAGTAAACTGCTTCGACAACGGCTCCGTCAAGACCAGAAGAAAAACAACATCAAAACCTGAAACAAAGCAAATAATAAAAAAAAAAGGCACTAAATAACAACTGAGCAAGGGAGCGTCAAGTGGGCCCTTAAGACCAGTACACAGGCAAACCTTTTCTTTAAAAAAAAAAAACAAGCACACTTCACCAATTTGGAAGCAAAAAAAAATAATAATAAAGGAAGGACAACACTCACCAGAAACCACCGTGCAAGGAACAAAAAGTTAGGGTCAAGAAGTGCCCAACATGCAAGATAAAAGGAAAGGAACGTGAAACAAACAAACAACAATCATGCTTCATGCAATTTATAAAATCAGGGTTTAACATCGAGAAACCAAAAGACACCAAAAGGGCAACCAACCCACAAGAAGCCTGAAGGGCACAGGAAAAGAAGGGAGCATATTCCCAACAAAATCATCACTCCGTCTCAGAATCACTAGAAACACTAGAGTCGCTAGAGAGCTAATTTATTTAATACGTGCAACGCCTTCCCATGACCCCCTCCGATTTTGACCAAAATTTTTTTCTGAGATGCCCTTATGGTAAGAAAAAACATCCTAAAATATTAGGTCGCTAAAAAATTTATTGGCCGAGAAAACCAATGTTTTCAAAATTTGCCACTTTTTTTACTTAATTTGGGAGTTTCTTTACTACTCTGAGGTTTTTGGTGCTAAGTGGCTGAAAATTGATATCCTTATGTAAAATTGCCCAAGGAACAAGAATATGGTCACAGATTTGACCTACGACCGATATCTTGAGAAATACGTACCCAAAACGACCAAATTTTACTGAAAATACCCAAATTTTGGGGAAACGGTCAAAAATATTTTTTATCCACGATCCGTTGACGCCATCTTGTAGAAAAAGAGCTAATAAAGCCAATGAGCACACGCCCATGTTTGTAGCTCAAACCGTTTAGAAGCTGTAAGGCGTCAAAGTTGGAGGTTTTTTGAGGGGGCCTGAAAACCGGCCCTTTTGACCTCTGCGCTCAATGTCCGGCACCCGAGCCGTACCAGCCATGATCCTTGCTTTCGAGGTGAGGTCTGCGTGCGCAATGGGATTCAAGAAGAGGGTGAAGCGGCACAGCGTTTCTGAACAGGGTCCTCTTTAGAGCGCCTGAACAGCCGAGGGTTGGTAAGCTCACCAAACGGCGCTTGGAAAGCACTCGCCGCACCGTGGGCTCGCTCAAGGCCACGAACAATGCCATTCGGTGTAAGTCTAAAACTGTCGCCCTCGACAAGCTTCGGATTCTGTTGGCTGCCCCTTCCTTCTCTCTCTTTCCCACAAGGTCCAAAGCCGTGGCCCACGACCCCTCAACCTGCCCCAATCCCGGATATATTGTGTGTTGATTCAGATGAATTTCAAGCTTTTTGTCGGAAGCTGTCGCCCTTTGGGAAGCTTAAGAAGTTCTTCGGAATCTGTCGGCGTTTCCCCCGGCGGTTTTCTCACTTTCCCAACCCTGAGGGGTTGAGGTCGACTTAGCTCCATAGTATTATGACCCAAATTTGGGAGTCATGATCATGACTCTTTCATTCTCAGTGTAAAATGCTCTTTAACTCGAGACAAGTCAATAACAGTCTGAGAGTGCGGTCGACAGCTCGAGGGCAACGCAAGGTTCACACGTTCACACTGGTCAGAGAATTAAGGGGAGTCATAATGAAGTAAGGGAAATTTAAAGGGGCATTAGAACTCAGGGAAAACCGTAATTAGGTTAGGGAAAATCGCAACCAGGATAGGGAAAATTTTAAAAGCTGGCATGAAGTGTAAGTAATGCGTAGTAGGGGTGCTTGCTTAGCTCATGCGTTTCGCTCCGGAAATCATTAATATCGTATTTAATACCTATTTATACCTATTTATTGAACCTTGCGAATAAAACTTGAGAAAAAGGTCAGAGAAAATAGAAAGTTTCACCCTTTCAAGAAGGCCAAATTCAGGGAAAACGAAAACGGGAACCTGTTTGAACCTTCAGACAGCGAGCTAACGCCTTCGAACAGCTTTGGATTCTGTGTCGGCCGCAATCTCCAGCCCCGTCCTCTCTCTTCTTCTTCTTCTTCTTCCTTTCCCACATTGCCCTACTACCGCCCTCGACCCCTCAACCTCCCAAACACTAAATGAATTGTGTGTTGTTTCAGACGATTTTCAAGCTTTTGTTCGGTTACGGTCTCAAGCTGTCGCCCTCAGGAAGGTTCGGAAGAGAATCGCAGCTGCCCCTTGCTGTTTTCCACCCTTTCCCAACTTTTCAAACCCCTCGCCCTCGACCCCTCAGGGTTGGGAAAGTGAGAAAACCGCCGGGGGAAACGCCGACAGATTCCGAAGAACTTCTTAAGCTTCCCAAAGGGCGACAGCTTCCGACAAAAAGCTTGAAATTCATCTGAATCAACACACAATATATCCGGGATTGGGGGCAGGTTGAGGGGTCGTGGGCCACGGCTTTGGACCTTGTGGGAAAGAGAGAGAAGGAAGGGGCAGCCAACAGAATCCGAAGCTTGTCGAGGGCGACAGTTTTAGACTTACACCGAATGGCATTGTTCGTGGCCTTGAGCGAGCCCACGGTGCGGCGAGTGCTTTCCAAGCGCCGTTTGGTGAGCTTACCAACCCTCGGCTGTTCAGGCGCTCTAAAGAGGACCCTGTTCAGAAACGCTGTGCCGCTTCACCCTCTTCTTGAATCCCATTGCGCACGCAGACCTCACCTCGAAAGCAAGGATCATGGCTGGTACGGCTCGGGTGCCGGACATTGAGCGCAGAGGTCAAAAGGGCCGGTTTTCAGGCCCCCTCAAAAAACCTCCAACTTTGACGCCTTACAGCTTCTAAACGGTTTGAGCTACAAACATGGGCGTGTGCTCATTGGCTTTATTAGCTCTTTTTCTACAAGATGGCGTCAACGGATCGTGGATAAAAAATATTTTTGACCGTTTCCCCAAAATTTGGGTATTTTCAGTAAAATTTGGTCGTTTTGGGTACGTATTTCTCAAGATATCGGTCGTAGGTCAAATCTGTGACCATATTCTTGTTCCTTGGGCAATTTTACATAAGGATATCAATTTTCAGCCACTTAGCACCAAAAACCTCAGAGTAGTAAAGAAACTCCCAAATTAAGTAAAAAAAGTGGCAAATTTTGAAAACATTGGTTTTCTCGGCCAATAAATTTTTTAGCGACCTAATATTTTAGGATGTTTTTTCTTACCATAAGGGCATCTCAGAAAAAAAAATTTGGTCAAAATCGGAGGGGGTCATGGGAAGGCGTTGCACGTATTAAATAAATTAGCTCAGAGTCACTCGGGTACTCGAAACCGCACCAGCACAGATTGGAATCGCTATCCTTTGGATCAGGAATTGGGGGAATCCCAGCCACCCGGTCTTCATAATTTAAAGGAAATCTAAACAGTTTAATCCCTGCGGGCGGGATGGCTTCTTCGGAGTCCGAATCTGACAGAATTTCGACGTCCAGGCTAAGGGCGTACTCTTCGGCCGCCGCAGCAAAAGCGAGACGGCGAGCGTCCCGCAAGACACGCTCGGTCTCCAGCTACAGGACAGGATCAAAGCATAGGTAGTGACGGAGCCTGGCGGTTCGAGAAAAACGAAAACTACTCCACCCACCTGAGCTACCGGGACATCAGTCAATGGGAGAGGGTCCATAGCATGCAGGGGAGCGCCCGTGGCCGGACCGACGCCGGGCCCACGCCACACAAACTCCTCGGCCGCCGACGGCAGCAGAAACGAGTGTTCCTCGAAGGGGGCGTCGGGAAATCCCAGGAAAGGAGGCTCAGGGTAACCCATCGCCCCAGGGACCACAGGAAGGCCCTCAACAGGCAGATCCAACCCCGGGAACCCTAACACAAGCCCAGGCCCCAACTCCACACCGGGCCCCTGCACGAATCCGAACTCCGGCAGAGGGAACGCTAGGCCCACCTCCGGCAGGACCTCGAAATCATACAATTCAGGGCCAGGCACAAAATTGAGGCCCAAGAGAGGGTGATCAGGTGGGAGGACGTGCATGACCACTTCAGGTTCGAAGTGGTGTGCGAAGGGAACCCAAGGGCCGAGGTTTAAGCCAGGAAGTTCCTCCTTTGGAAAAGACAGGGAGTGAGACAGCGAAATCTTAACCCACAAGCTACAGTCCAGTACTAAGCCCACTTACAAAAACCCTACACTCGCACGCCAAACAGAGAAATCTCGGCCATGTCTGGATGAGAGCAACGGTATCCCATTCCTGCACTTCATGGATCCCGTCGGTAAAGGGGTCGAGCACGAATTGAGGAGACAGCAGGCCCTCCTCACACATCACCCCACAACCACCGCACAGCTAAAACACGCACATGCCACATGCCACAAGAATCGTGCAAACGCCAAAGACGCCACAAGAAAGGGTACTCACATAACCAGAATGTCCCGCAGCTGAGCCACAAAAACACCAGGCGGCACGCGCCTCAAAACGGAGGGTCAGAATCTGATCCATGTTCGACAGCGTTCTACAATGTCCGACAGCGTCCAAGATGGCGGTCCCTTCCTTCCAAGCTGGACGCCACTCACGGAATGACGCCGACGACGCCCGACGCCGGCGTTGGGGACGCCGCGAGAACCGGAAGACGCGACAACAGCCAATCAGGAGTCAAGAATACGTCAGCTGACCTGAATCGACCAACCACAGGCCGAGCGCAACGGTCGGAAACGCACCGCAAGGCTCCGACCTGCGCAAACACGGCGCAACACGGGCTAGCAACGGACAGCTACGGTACGACACGCGACTCCAGCGCCGCTTGCACTGGCGGCGGTGCACCGTACCAGACCGCGCTAGGAACCCGACGCGCGGAGTATCGCCAGACGCAAGCGCGCGCGCAGCAGTTATACACAAGGAGTGTCGTCAGTCGCAACCCGAGTAAAAACCACATAAACATTGTAAACCCGACTGTACAAACAAAAAGAAGTAAAACTATTATAAATGCTTCGCATTTCCTTCATTCGGAGAGGAGTGAGAGGAGTGAGAGTACAAGCAAAGTTTAGCAACTAACAAGTTTAAATTCACAGAGCCACTGTCGACTTGGCGCACCTGGCCAAAATGATTTTCATCATGGTAAACATCGCCTTCTTGGCCATCATCGCCGCACTGATGGTACACTACTTCATGAAACAACATCGCTCGATGGCCCCAATCATCTACTTGGAAGGAAACATCGCAGCTGGAAAATCGACTCTTGCAGCCAACCTCAAGAGATTGGAACTTTTCCCAGTACTAGATGAACCTGTCAAAGACTGGCAAGACGTGGAGGGACATAACTTACTGGAACTCCTCTACACTGACCGAGCCACTTGGAGCTACCCTTTCCAAGTGCTCGCACTAGCCACGCTTGGCCGCCGCCAAACTAACTTGCTGGCTAACCATCCAGAGGGACTGACAGTCCTGGAACGTTCGCCCCAGTGCTCACTAAGAGTGTTCGCCCAAGGCCTCGCCGAGATGAGCGCCATCGGCCAAGAACACATGGCCATTCTACGGATTCTGCGCGACGCCGTCGCCCCACCCACTCAACGACCGATCCACTACATCTACGTGCGCACACCCCCAGCCATAGCATACCAACGATTGAACCGCAGGGGACGCACGGAAGAAGCAGGTGTCACTATCGAGTACCTCACCCTGCTACATGACCTGACTGACACCTGGCTACTGCGAGAGGAAACCAACCCAGTTCACGTTCTGGATGGAACGCTCACCCCCGAGCAATTGCTGGCAGCCGCCCTGGACATTATCCAGAATCTGAGAGGTGACGTCGTGCCAGCCCAGGAGTCCCAGCCCATACGCGAGGAGTAGTCCCATGAGTTAAGTATTTGCACTAGCAAACAGCTAATTAAGTTTCTTAGATTTCAAGGTGCCTACAGAGTAGGATTAGTTAGATAGTCAGGACGGCATCAGGCAAACCAACCAGACAGAGTAGGGGTTGGATACTTAAAAGCGCAGAACTGTGTAGAGTGTTTTTCTGTTTGTTTCAGTTGGAGCTTCACCAGAACTAACACAAATTTTGGTTGGCCCACAGGCGGAACATCCCAACTTCACGCGGTGTTGCAAATCGTGACGACGGTTGTAACATCCGTTTGGAGCTGCTGGAGTCTACCTGGCGTCTAAGATGTTAAAGGCCAACTATTCTTTATTTTTCTTTTTTTAACAACAAGCCGACCCGCGGGCTTAGGACTGGACACCCTAACGCCTGGCACCCAGAAGGTGTAATGGGGAAGCGAGCCTTTGTAGCATCACATCAAGACAGCGAGCAGTCGTCATCAACTCAAGAAAGAAAACTCAAGAAATTACCAAAATTGGACATTTAATCAGACTTGTGAAATCACGTTTAAGTTGAGTGAGAGAGTGGAGAATAGTTCTAAAATCTTAAACCAGTACGTCAGAAAAATTTAAAGTCAGTGTTCAACATGAAGCTGGAAGAAAAGGGTGTACGAGGAAAATTTTAAGAAACTTCGTTTCTTTCATTCAGGAGGGAGTGGTGTTATGATGAGCGATTCTCACGTTTCGGGGTAGTTTCGTTTCTTCTGACTCCTGTGCCCAAACGAGCGCAGATATCGACATGGGGTTTGTTTGTGATGTTAGGGAGGGCCATTGCCCACTAATCGCACACATTTTGAAAAGTTCAAGTTCGTTGGATTGGTCTACGTAGCGTTTGGAATACCCTAAATGTAACTTCCGTGATTGTCCAAGGAGAACATACTCGAACTTTCCGCCCCCAGTGTGGCGGTGTGGTTCGAAAATGCTGCCAACTGTCGATGGGGATTCGAAGCTTGGCATGTCTCGAGCTAATTTCAACCGAAGACCAATACGCCAGACTTCTTTCAAAGGTACTTATGCTGCAACGAAAAATGTCCTCCGTATATTCAATTTCACTACACAAATTTCGAAAAGGCAGCTCTGGACTTCTCCCCAAGCCAAACTTTTAACTTTCCATGACACAAGCCATCAAAGTGGAGTCCCTGGGATATAATTGCATGGGTCGCGGAATTCTAAGATGCTGTACACGGTCTCAAAGCGGGCTAGAGCATTATAAAATGGCGTGTATCAACAATTACCTGTAACTTCCGTGGCACCCTTTACCCAATGTTGCAGCAGCACTGGGTGAAAATTTTTTCCGCTTAAATGTCGGGCTTTGAGTATCATTTGACCCTGGAACGACTTTCAAGCCACAGCAAGCCCGAGTCAGCCGTTAAAGCCGATTTTCACACTTTGTAACTTCCGTGATAACGTAATTTCCGTGATCAAAACACCCTTTAAAACGTATGGGAATACCTTATGGCTCATGTTTTTAGGAAGGTAGTACAAGGTCTTTACTATAAATACCATTGCCATAACTCTAGTATCATCCAGGACCCGAATAATCAGAAAAACTTAATTGGATATTTCTCACTTTCGGCAAATCAGAGACGCCAAAACTACCCCGAAACGTGAGAATCGCTCTGATATGAAATAATAGAGAACATAACCAAAGCACGGCCTCTAGACGGTCATTCCCCAGTTTTTAACCACTGCCCTAGTGATCCTGGCCAGGACCTCAACCCTCCTTCTTTTTGTTCTTCCCTCAAATACCCTGGTTCCTAAATCCCATTGGCCATGCACCCCCACTCTCCACCACACTGTTCTTCCCTATGTTCTTCTGCATCTGTAATATAAAGGCGCGCTGTCTGGCGCCAGCTACCATTCTGTACACGGTCACCTTGTTGATAATACAGAAGCTTCCGTCTCCACGAGACCTTCGACTACCCTTTCCCTCCAAGTCCCTTACACTGCCACACTATAACAGTATTTGCAAATATTGAACATTATGTTTCATTAATACTATTTCTAATAACTGTCTTTTGTTTGTTTTTAGGTGAAAGGCTTTCGTGTCCTGTCCAGTTTGTAACTGTCTGAACAGTTGCTCAACCTCCATCTGTTGGTCCATTTTCTGCATTGGTTTCTGTTGTTAATTGTCAATCAGATCGACTTGTGGTGACATCCATTTTAGTCACTTCAGTGGGACTCATTCATCTGGCTGTTTATGTACAGGTATAATGCTCTGTTTCATTTCATTTGACACATTTGTATGTTAAGTTATTGCCTTTGTTGTCATCAAGTTGAAATAGGAGCTTAAAGAAATCTTTCAAGTTAACTTGCCGTAAGTGATTGTTAAGTGTGGGCGAATCTGTAAATGGTGCTGTTTGGTAATTTATCATTTGCTGTGGTGTAGAAGGGACTGTTTATGTTCTAACTAGCAATACATTCAGCCATTGAATACTCAAATTAATTTTATTATTATCAAATAAACCATTCCAAATTTTCATAATTTTTTTTAATTTTTCCTTTAACATTATAATATATGTAATTGGTGTTCAACAACCATTATATACAGTTTCAATTTAAATCTTTTTGCAAATATTGAACATTATTTTTCATTAATACTGTTTCTAATAACTTTCTTTTGTCTGTTTTTAGGTGAAAGGCTTTTGTGTCCTCTAAACAGTGTGTAACTGTATGAACAGTTGCTGAACGTCCATCTGTTCGTCTATGTTTTGTACTTGTTGTATGCACAGATTACCATGAATGTTCATTTCCAAGAACATCAATGTTCTTTCATAACATACAGGGAAAGCCAAATTAAATAAAAAGTATGGTGACGTTTTAGAGAATCAATACTGTTACAGGATTTGTCTGCATACAGGATGAGATGCAGTTTGTAATGAGTTTGGGACCAATGTCCACTGTCACCCTGTCTTGAAGGTCATTGTAATCTGTCCTGACAATCAGATCTGTAGTTGCTCTTCATAGTTGTCAATCAACTATTTTGTTTTGTAAGTTTGAATGTATTGAAAATACTTTTTTGTTCTGTTGTTTAAAATCAAATTTTTATTCATTATTATTGGGTTGGTATACATTTGAATTGTATATCATTAATATTTAAGTTTGTGCATGGCACTGTTTTCTAAAACATATTTCTAATCTGGTACTTCACATATTTGTGTACATTATATGAAGCAGGCTGTATTGGAATTGAAAGTAATGTCCTTTTCGTTTATTTTTTTTATTCCTTGGAAGTGACTTTATTTATATGGTATTATACTGTTTATTTGAGGCCTTCCTTAATTTACTTTACTTTTGAGCCAATCTAGAAATGACACAAGATCCAAGTATCCTTTGGATCGTTTGACTGCATTTAATCTTTCTATTGTTAACCTTCTTATTAAAATCAATGATGAAAATGAAGAAATCCTTGATAATGCTGTATAAATAAGTCCAATACAGAATTCCGTTTCACCCATATCTAGAATCATCCTGTCAATTCCAATACCTTGACCTTTGTGTATAGTACAAGCCCATGCTAGAACCAGAGGTAATTGTAATCTTGAGCATACCTTTCCTTTTTCTGTCCAAGTTGCTAGTACAGGTTTTATTGGAATGTATTTTAAACCTATACCTGTTAAGTTTATATCATGAAATTCTATCAATATGTACAGTGGCATATTTGGTGGTTCTTCATCTTGTCCATGCAATATTCTATATATATTACCAATGGAGCCGTTTACTAATCCTCTTGAAACATTGATGTTACGTTTGAGCATAACTTTCGCTCCTTCGCAAAGGTACAGTGTATTGACTAAACCATCAGCCTTTTCACTGGAACTTGAAAATGCTTTTCTTGAGTTGTTTTGAGCATTTATGCAAGCAATGGGTTTCTTTAAATTAACTATCTTGTTTATATTGAACTCATCTACTATTTCATTTGTTGCACATAATTTTAAGCTGTTAGAAAATGTGCCAATTTCTGTTTTTGTAAGTAATGATACACACCTTTCATTTATTTTCTTTAAGTCATATTTTGAACAGTTTCCCATTGATACTCTTTCTAGGAAGTCACAGTAATTACTTACATTAGCTCGATAATTTTTGCTTAGGAAGTGTACATTGTCTACACATCTTAACAGTAACTTTCCTCTTTCCAAGAGACCATTTCCTTTTGTGTCTCCTTTAAGAGATCTGAATAGTGCGGAGTCACCACATGGAACAAGCTGATGGCAGTCTCCTATTAAGTAAACGTATAGATCTCCAAATGGTTTCTGATTATCTTTCATTTGTCTGAATCGTTCTTCAATAGCAGCCAAAAGACGGCAACCAATCATTGAGTATTCATCTATTAGAGCAAATTGGATTTTATGCTTATCTTCCTGGAACTTCAACAAGTCATCAGCTACAAGAGGTGTTATATTTTTAAATCTTCTACCTAATTTTAAGTATGAATGAATTGTATGTCCATTGATCAATTTGGCTGCTGTTCCAGTAGGTGCCAATAAACATACACTTTCAGTACCAAGCTTATCAATTATGTAATTAAACATATGTTTCAGTACTGAAGTCTTTCCTGTACCTGCTGAGCCTTGTATAATTGTAACATTTCCACTTACTTTGGATCCTTTGATTATTGATAGTACTTGAAGTTTCAGTTCTTCCATGACCTTCTTTTGGCTATCATTAAGTTTCATGACAGGCAGTTCAAATTTTTTTGTGTTTGAAATTGGTTCTCTTATTTTGTCATATATAGTATTAAGAACTTCATCATCAAGGAAGAAGTTCCATTTTTTCCAGTTGTTGTTTTTATCAAGAGGTCTATATCCAATCTGAGTAGATTCTTCTTTTCTGATTGGCATAAGTGATGATATAGGTTCAAATTTCTTATTATCATTTCCTTCATCGTGATTGTTTGTCTCTTCTGGGAATTTTTCTTTTAAACAATCCATTGTTTTCTTGAAGAGGTACATATTAATCATTTCTTCCTTTTCTGTGACTTTTTCTTCTTTAAGTTTTATATCAATGTTTAAGTCACTTATTGATCTCCATGGCACAAAGAAGAAATGCAGCCTTTCTATATCTTCTGTTTGCAAGGTAGTCATCTTTGCCATCTTTGGAAAAATTCTTATTATTGCTGGTTTCTTCCGTTTTTCAAAGGAACCTTTCCTTACACATATGAATTTACAAAATTCATATAGGTTCAAATCATCCATTTCTGTTGGTCTTGAAGCATAATATTGTATTAATGTTTTGTTCTCTGTGTTCGGTTCTAAACTTGACCATGAAAAGTGATTCATATTTAATATTACAAAGTCTCTACTGCATCTATAAAAAGGAAACCCCATTAAGTAATGCATCACTTCCTGTGCACAGTAATCTCTTTCTGCACAAGCAGATATTAACAACTTCCGTATAGTTTTCTTGCAAGATTCATTGTCATTTTCACCTGATGTTGTTATATTTTTGAGTATTTCACTATATTCTATAGATTTACTTTCACATTTTGAAGCATACTTAGCAATGTAGTGGTAAATGCTTGTCTCATTATAAATAGGCGATATGTCAATATTAGCTCTCCAGCTCTGAATTAGCCATTTATTAAGTTTGTTGATCAGTGGGTCATTTCTTTTGAATATCATATCAGTAATTTCACCATCTTCAATAATCAATCTTGACGTTTCATTTAGTTCAAATGGAAAATTATACTTACATTTTGTAAGTTTCTTTCCATTTTTGGTCTTACATGTCTTTTCCGAGCATTTTGTATGCCTTTGAACTCTATTAATAAGTTGTGATAAGTCTTCTTGTAAGTTAGTTACATCAGAAAGTCTCATTGCACATGGATGAGTTTCTGTAATAGTGCAATTAACATCAGGGTTCTCACAACTAATTATTTCATCAAAATACTTTAGGATATCATTTTGGATCTTCTCATTATCAATATTTTTAAGTTCTGGAGCGTCATGAAACCAAGCTACTCCATGTAGATGTATGGAACCTCTGTGTTGGTATTCATATCTGTACCAGATGTCTTTGACTTTATATTTCTTTGAAAAACAATGGTCAATGAAATATTGTGATCTCATGACAAAAAACTGGTCAAATAATAGAGGATTTTCTGCCATTATTTTCCGTTTCTCAGAGATACTTAGTTTGTTTGGATTTTTAATACCAAGTAATCTGAATGGGTCAGGCCAATGGTAATCTGCACTACTTAATGTAAAGAATACAGTTGGAGGACCAATATCATTTACAAGATCTAAGAGCTCACCACATCGTGAACTCCAGTATGGTCTTGTTGATCTTATTTTTGACCCATAGAACATTATTTGTTTTGCTGTATTTGGATGTTCTTTTAGATAATCTTTTAACTGTGACAGTGTCATTTTTGAAAATACTTCATTTTTCTTCACAAATGTGTTACCACAGTTAAGGGCACTCCATCTCATTAAAGTATTCATGAGAAATAGGGTGGGTCGAAAATCCCAGAATTAAGCGGCGTATGGTTTTGTTTGCAGTTGACCATATTAGAAAAGAGATCCCACAATGCTGGGGTCTGGTGACGTCACCTTCCATCTCTTTGGAGGCTCCAAACTTGGGTCTAATAGTGAAAAATGGCACTTTTGGCCCTACAGGGACCAAACCAGGCATCGCCCAGGATGCGGCTATCTCGCGATGGGTGCGGAATATGTTCCTTCATATCCCTGCAAAGTCTGGGCGATGTGGCTCAACATCTTGGTTAAGCCCGGGCACTTGTTTTAACGCTAAAACAAAGTTGCAAAACACTAAAAATTGGATTTAAGGGTCTATTGTTTGCTCAAAGGTCCTATATACGTATATAAATGGAAACGGATCAAAAAATGCAATTTTTTGGTATATATAACTTTGTGATCGGACGAAAATTGTTGCCACGGCGAAACTTTACACATTTCAGCAAAAGCTCAAAAACACTAAAAAGTGATCTTTAGGAAAATATGTATTGCCTGTGAATCCAATATGACCATTGAGTTCGAAAGATCTAAAAAAATGCAAAATTTTGGTATATAAAGTTTTGTGATTGGACAAAAACTTGATTTGTTGTTAATTATAGAAGAAAGTGTAAACGTTCGTCGGGCCATCTCTTGCCTAACAAGGGCTTTGCTTCGCTTTGCTTGTGAATTATTTTGCAGCAATTCGAGTTTTTGTCCAAACACAAAACTTTATTTACCAAAATTTTGCATTTTTTTTTAGATCTTTAGAACTGTATGATCATATTGGATCCACAGGTAATTCATATTCTCCTAAAGATCACTTTTTAGTGTTTTTGAGCTTTCGCTGAAATGTGTAAAGTTTCGCCCTGGCAACAATTTTCGTCCGATCACAAAGTTATATATACCAAAAAATTGCATTTTTTGTTCCGTTTCCATTTATATACGTATATGGGACCTTTGAGCAAACAATAGACCCTTAAATCCAATTTTTAGTGTTTTGCAGTGTTTCGCCCTGACAAAGTTATATATACCAAAAAATTGCATTTTTTGAGTTCTTTCCATTTATATACGTAAATGGGACCTTTGAGCAAACAATAGACCCTTAAGTCCAATTTTTAGTGCTCTGCAACTTTGTTTTAGCGTTAAAACAAGTGCCCGGGCTTAACCAAGATGTTGAGCCACATCGCCCAGACTTTGCAGGGATATGAAGGAACATATTCCGCACCCATCGCGAGACAGCCGCATCCTGGGCGATGCCTGGTTTGGTTCCTGTAGGGCCAAAAGTGCCATTTTTCACTATTAGACCCAAGTTTGGAGCCTCCAAAGAGATGGAAGGTGAAGTCACCAGACCCCAGCATTGTGGGATCTCTTTTCTAATATGGTCAACTGCAAACAAAACCATACGCCTTTTTATTCTGGGATTTTCGACCCACCCTAATGAGAAAGTATCTAAATCTTTCATCCTTTGCGAATCGGCCATCCTCAAAGTTCATCAGGTACTTAACATAATCTGTCATTTTTACCTTTCTTTGAGAATCAAAAGTAGTAATATCTCCTAATCCATGAGGAAATAAAGTTGGAAAAGCATTTGTAAAATATCCTGGACTTTCAAACTCATTTATCGGATATTTACCTATTGTAGGGAATGGGTGAATATTCTTTGCTAATGAATTCTCTATTTTTTCTGTTTGAGAATAATCAGTTATGTTTGGAATGTCTGTAACTACTATTCCCAACTCTTCATCATCTCTGGTTTGTGAGTACATATCTTCAAAATCACTTTCATTGCTTGATGACTCACATTCTGAGTCAAAACTGTCTGGTATGTTTTGATTTACATTGTAACCTTTCATGTTTCTATACATATTTTTATTTTCTGGCAGTAATTTTAAATTGGCTTCGCTTATTTCTATGTCCTTGTAAAATGGATTATTTTTCTTTAACCATAACAAGGCATTGTGTACTTCAGACCTTCTGACTTGAAAATCTTGATGTGAATTTGAATTGTCAAGCCTTATCGTTATTATGTTATTCAAATCCTCAATTTTGTGAGGTAGAATGTCAGCTATTTCTTGTACATTTTGTGGGAAATTTATAATATTTCCTTTGTAACCATACTGACAGTTTTGAATCTTGTACAATGATACAACAGGGTGAATTCTTGCTATAAGTTGTCTTTCAACATATGTGAGTATCTTTAGGCAATCTGGAACTACTCCTGGATTGTATTCTGTTCCCTTCCTAAATATATTACAAGTATGGCACTTCTTTTTTGAGTACAGGTCAGTAAGGACTTTCTGATTACAAAGTTCGCAAGTTTTCCAATGGATGGTAGATTGGTAGATACAGAAGTTGAATTGGATTGTATCAATTGAACTGTTGTACTTAAATCCCCGTTGGCTCATTCTTGTAACATACCTTCTTCTTGTATTTAATGTTTTTTCCCTTAGTTTTTCCTCACTTGTTTTTCTTGACCTTCTAAGGCGCATCCTTTCTTTCGCCTTCTTTCTTTCAGTTCTTATTTTAATTACAGTGTATTGGTTTCGCTGGTGTCTTTTTTTAAATTTTTCTTGTATTCTTGTCTGAAACGAAATAAGCATTTGTTTTCTTAGAAGTTTTATTAATATGAACCAAAAGTACATTCCTTTTTGATTTGGATCTATATGAGTTTCTTAAGGTACATGTAAGATTTTATCTAAATGTCTCTTGTTTCTTCTGTAGATTTTGTCTTTTTCTTTTCGTGATTTGATTTGCATATCTGTTAATTTTGCTCTGTATTTTCTAGTTCTTTCCATGCTTGTTATTTTTCCTTTTTTTACCTGGAGACACAAATTTTGATCTGAATTGTCATATAGATTAATTTGGAGGGTTATTTGTAAACTGTAAATCAAAAGCTTTTCCTAGCAAACCATGGTACAAAAGATAGATTGGTTTATCAGATTGACATTTTTGGTTGAGTGATTCTATTCTTCCTAATATGTTTGACAGGAGTCTTTCGGGAAGATGTACATAAGCAATTTTATCTTTGAAGGCGTTATCAGTTAATTTCAATCGAATTCTTTCTCCCTTTTTGGTGTTTACATGCTCAAAAGCCATTATTTTGTACGGTTTTCCTTCTACTAAGTCCCTGATACTAAGAAATTGAGGCATTTCTTTAAGCTGCCTATTGAGACTGTTCAGATCTTCATCGTCAGAGGACTGTTCAAAGAGAATACAAATCTTATTATGCCTTCTAAAATATTTATGATATTTTGAAATGTATGTTAACTTACATTTTCTTTCTTCTTTCCTTTTTCTTTCTTTTCTTTTTTCTTGTGAGACCGTTTCTTTTCCTCTTTTGTATTCTTCGAACTACTTGGTTTCGTCTCATCACTTTGATGTTCTTGTTCATCCTGCAAGTCATATAAAGTGTTTATTGTAAATATCTTTATTTTCATTTCAGTATCTTTCTAATTGTTAAACTAGTTACCTTTTTCTTTTTGTCACCTTCCTTACGTGACTTAGTTTTCTTTTCATGCTTTTTTTTCTGTCCTTTCTCTTCAGCATCTGAATCACTTCCATCAGGACTTTGATCATCACTAAGGCCTTCATCTGTGCTTGCGTTTGACTCCTAAGTGGAAGATATTGTTGTGGTTATATTTAAATTTTCTATAACATTGTATTTTTAAAATACTTTGTAACTGTACCGTTGACTTTGTCCTTTTCTTCCGTTTCTGGACTTTCTTCTTTTTCATGTCATTACTTTCTGACGCTTCAGCGATTTCATCCTGTAAGAAATTTTTATGAAACTATCTGTATGTTTTATATAGATTGCAATTTTATTGATTTTCCTTACATCACTTGATGATTCTTCCTTTAGATATTTCCTTTTACTTTCGAGAGAACTTTGACTGCTGTTATACCCGACGGGAACCGATCCTAGCCGCAACGTTGCCTTCAAGGTGCCGCACGTTGCCTACGTTTCGGGCCCGTTTACGTTGTCTGCCGCCGTTATAGCAACCAGTCCGCATCCGTTGGTTGCTCCGATCACGTCAAATCTGATGGGAGGGAACGGATCCGCATCAAGGATCGTTAGGAAACGACGCCGCGATATTGCTGTCACATTCCCGGCTTCATGTTTCTGGCCCCACGTTGCTGCGATGTTGCTTCCACTAATACATTGCAACTTGAATGTGCCGATGTCGCCGCCACGTTGCCCCCACCAGGTCTTCCGCACGTAACTCTGGACATGAGTCTGCAACGACGCCGTGCAGGCGCCGTCACCACGTAGCCCTGACGACTGAAAGGCGCTTTCAGAAACACCATACTTGTGCGATGTGCCAGTGACATGGTTGCAGCGACGTTGCCTCGCGGTGGCCGACGCAACGTCATGGCGGCTACGTTGCTGCCGTAGAACGGCTCCGACGTCGCTACGGCCACCGACACCCCACGTGCCAGCGACCGCGCCACCGCCACGTTGATTCGTCGATACTGTGGCGACCCCATGGCAACAACACAAAAACCAGGTTCCCTGCAGGACACTCAGTATAACGTCGCTGCTACGCTGCCGGCTCAACGTCGTCATGGCCACCTTCCGCCCACTATGCCATTGCCACGTAGATTCGGCAATCCCATGGCGTCCTCATGGCGCCGACACAAAAACAGGGTCCTCTGAAGGATTCTTAACGCATCGTTGCTGCTACAGCACCAGCTCAACGTCACCATGTCCACAAACTGCTCACCATACCGCCGCCACGTTGATTCGGCGATCGTATGGCGACCTCATGGCAATGACACAAAAACAAGGTTCCCTGAGGGACACTAGATGCAACGTTGCTAAAACGGCGCCGGATCAACGTCGCCATGGCCACAAACCACCCACTATGCCACCGCCACGTTGATTCGGCAATCCTATGGCGACCTCATGGCAATGACACAAAAACAAGGTTCCCTGAGGGACACTAGATGCAACGTTGCTAAAACGGCGCCGGATCAACGTCGCCATGGCCACAAACCACCCACTATGCCACCGCCACGTTGATTCGGCAATCCTATGGCGACCTCATGGCAATGACACAAAAACAAGTTTCCCTGAGGGACACTAGATGCAACGTTGCTATAACGGCACCGGATCAACGTCGCCATGCCTGCAAACCGCCAACCATACCGTCGCCACGTTGATTCGGCGATCCCATGGCAACCTCATGACAAGATACCTACACAAGGTTCCCTGAAGGACCCTCAGTGTAACGTTGCAGCAACGGTGCCAGCTCAACGTTGTCAAGCCCAAGTACCGCGCACTATGCCGCCGGAACGTTAATTCGGAGATCCCATGGCGACCTCATGGCAACGACACAATAACAGGGTTCCCTGCGAGACACTCACGGTTACGTTGCTGTATTGGCGCCGGCTCACCGTCGCCATGCCCACAAACCGCCCACCACACCGCCACCACGTTGATTCGGCGATCCCATGGCTACCTCGTGGCAGTGACACAAGAAAAGGTTCCCTGAAGGACACTCGGTGCAACGTTGCTGTAACGGCACCGGCTCGACGTCGCCATGCCCACAAACCGCCAACCATACCGTCGCCACGTTGATTCGGCGATACCATGGGTATCTCAGGGCGCCGGCCGACACAAAAACAGGTAGTCCTCTGTAGGACACTAAGTGTATCGTTGCTGCAACAGCACCAGCGCAACGTCGCCATGCCCACAAATCGCCCACCATACCGTCGCCACGTTGATTTATCAGCGATCCCATGGCAGCCTCATGGCAAAAAAGGTTCACTGAAGGACACTCAGTGTAATGTTGCTGTATTGGCGCCGGTTCAACGTCTCCATGCCCACCAACCGCCCACCGTACCACTGCCACGTTAATTCGGCGATCCCATGGCGACCTCATGCCAAAGACACAAAAACAAGGTTCCCTGAAGGACCCTCAGTGGAACGTTGCTGCAACGGTGCCAGCTCAACGTCGCCATGGCATAAGCCACCCACTATGCCGCCGCCACGTTGATGAGCCGATTACATTGTGAACCATACTGCCGGTACGGCAGCCAATCCTAGACGTGGCCGCAAACGCGCTGTCGCCACGTCGATTCTCCAATCCCATAGCTGCATGTCCAATCCACAAAGTCCGTTAGTGCCATTGGTTCTCGATCATCATGCACCTCCCTGGGAATCGTGACCGATGTAAGAAGCGTAGTTTCACCAAGCCAAGTTGGTCCAAAGTTGGGGCCAAAGTTGGTCGCAGCGCAGCTTGCTTTCGCTGCTCACTCGCCGTCCGCGCTGGGGTCGGTGGCAACACAAGCAGACGGTTCTAAAGCAACCCTACCCGGTACCCGGCCTCTGCTGCCCTATGGTGCGTCCTTGCACCTCACAGAGTGCGGACCTCCAGGATCCGAAACAACAGCGGTCACCTCGCGCCCACCCGTGATTCCATCCACCTGATCGACCTTTTGCACGAAGTTGCAACTTTGATATCACGTGGATGTTTCAATGGAAATTTGGTTCTCAATTCTACTTCACAAAAAGCGATAAATTGTTCTTATCCTGTCGCTTCCCTGGGTGCAGCTAGGCTTATTGCAAATTACGGCCCGCTGTTTAAATAGCAACAAAATCACCGTAATTTAGTTGTAATTAAAAATTTGATTGTTGAATATTGAAAAAAATCTCCCCTTCCTCCCTTGAAATAGCAGGGTCGCGTAAGTTTGAAATTGTGTTCGCGAAAATTGTTTAATGTTAATTTGGGGTCACGAACTGAAAAAGGTTTAGAACCTCTTTTTTTTCAGGTTGCCTCTGTATTGAAGAATGGAATTGCGAATGGAAACAAGATAGCTTACTCCTTTTCCTTTGACGGTCCAGGTGCCCTACAAAAACGTTTCTGGTGAAACAAAACGTTTTAGCTGTCTCAGACCTACTCTGCAGATCCAAAATAAAAGACAGCCGCGTACTATTTAGTGTAACCCACAACGTCCCACGCTCGAAAACGTGAGTCACGCTTGTCCCACGCTTGCAAGTGTGAGAAACGGTGTCCCAAACTTGCTGCCTGTGGTTCCCGTTACACTGTGGTTCAATGTCACAGGACCCACTCTTTCAAGTGTGAGACAAACTGTGTCTGACGCTTGCAGGCGTGAGAAAAACGTGGCTCACGCATGCCATGGTGGTTCACACTAAACAGTGCGAGACGGTTTCACACTTGCATTTGCAGTGTATTCTCCGGATACGGTTGCACGCGCGTTGTCATACTCGCTCAGGGCTCCCTAACTGCCCCAGCCCACCCGGGCCCGCGTCCGTCGTGCTCCCTCTTCTCCTTCCGCACTCCGCCCCTCCAGATTACTCATGACCAATAGGAAGAACGGATTTTCGTCCGCGCACTCTTCTCTCACCCAAAGGAAAGGCTCCCTGGGCTAGAGTGGACTAACTAGGCAGTGATGGGCTAGACAGGCCTAACACGAATGGGTAAAACCAAAATCCAAATGGCGTCTCCTGTCCTACCTTAGTAAGCAGGCCCGGCTCAACGGAGGAAGGCTGACCCGCCCTGCCTGTCGTTGGAACTCGGCACGTCTCGCTGGCCCAGCCTGGACTGAGGGAGCGCCTACGCTTCGCAAACCGTCTTGTCCCCGTCTTCCCCTCTCCCCCTTTGAGCCAGGCCCTGCTCCGCTGGCACTTCTTGTGTTGTTTGGTCGTGGGGCACGCATGCCGGTGCCGCTGGCGGCGGCGTAAGCGGTGGCGGCCGGAACGAGGGGGGGGGGCGCTTACCGCGTGAGTCACGCGTGACCGTTCTTTGGCTTACCGCGCAGAGTGTCGCGCCGGTGGCGACGCTCTCCCCTCCCCGGCGCCGAAGTGGTAATAAACAGCATCCAGCGACTCCCGATTTTTACGACCGCCAACGAATAGAATTTCAATAAAGTCACAGTCTTGCTTAAAGAGTGTCATAGGCTAAGAGCTCGCGCTGAGAGAATGATTTTGATACCAAACAACCAGAAAATCGGACGCCTTTGAACTGAAACACACCGTTTCATGTTGCTTCGCGATGTCAGGCTTACACAAAAAAAAAATCACATTCAATGAACGTTAATGAAAGCAGATGATACTCGTTTGGTTTTCTTCTACGGGGTAGTATGTGCTCATTCCAAAGATAGTATTTAAAAACTGAGTCCTTTGTGCCGTAGCCTGCACCGCCGCGCCATGAGACTAGCTTGGCCGCGCTGTGCCGGGTTTGGGCCCCCCCTGAGCTGTAGCGGGGAGGGATTGTCAATGCTGCGCGCAGGCCGTCGCGCGCGAGGAGGGGGTGCTATTGTCGAATTCCGCGCAGGCTGCGCCGCAGCCACAGACTCACCAGCCCGCCCCGGCAGCCAGTTCCTATTATATTGTTAGGATACGCAATTAGGTTTTGGACTCTCGAGTAAAAGCTAGCTGACACCTTTATGTGTCTTGTAGTTCTAGTTTTAGGTATGTTTTTAAGTAAAGGCATCTTTTATCTGCTAAAAAACCCGTTGCGACGCTCAAATTTTTTGGGAAAGGAACCAGACTTGGAAAGCAGCCAGCACCGCAGGCCAAGGTAGGCGTGGACAATCCACGCCAGGCGTGGAAACTGTCGAAACTGGCTCAGCATCGCGAAGCCTGTTGCGACAAGACACGGTCCGGCGTACACCTACCTTGTATATAAAATTGTAAAGATAAACCTAGTGCAAGCGCCCGCCTAGCTGCACCCAGCGAAGAGGAGAGGGGAGGCAAGAGGGGCGGGGGGGGGGCCCAGGCCATGGGGCCCCGCCTGCAGGGAGGGGGGGGGAGGGGGAGGGGAAGATGCCGGGGAGGCGGAGCGTAACCTTT